CTAAACTAAAATTGTGTATAGGCAAAACATATTAGGTTCAATGGCAGGTGGGATCGCCAAAGTAATTTTCTGCAGAACCCTGCTCCCTTTCTGGAATCCGCGTGTTTTTCCATTAGTAGAATGTGCCCTTTTATTTAAAATGCATCTCTGGGTTATTTGTGGGGCCTGCCTGGTGTTTTCGCATGAGTAGAACGTGTGGTTTTATTTAAAATGCATCTCTGGGATATTTGTGGGGCATAGGAATTCGTTCATTTTTTATTTTCCCCCCAAAATATAGTCTGGCCCCCCACAAGGTCTGAGTGACAGTGGACCAGCCGCCTGCTAAAAAAGTTTGCTGACCCCTTCTCAAGACCACCTGCATTTGAAACCAGTTTACTGGTTCAACACACCAAATACCTATTCTTATAAACAAAATGTAAATACTTTTAAAAGTACATGCTATAGCCACAAATGTCTTTATTTCAAAAATGAGGTGGCCCTTTGTTCTAAGTTTATAGCATTGCTATAGTTCCTACAAGGTATTTTTAAAAGGTTATATGTGCTCTTCAATATAAATTGCTTTTTTAAAAAAACAAAAAACACCCCACCTGTGTCCAGTGGTACCTCGGGTTAAGAACTTAATTTGTTCCGGAAGTCCGTTCTTAATCCGAAACTGTTCTTAACCTGAAGCACCACTTTAGCTAATGGGGCCTCCCGCTGCTGCCGCGCCGCCGCCAGAGCACGATTTCTATTCTCATCCTGAAGCAAAGTTCTTAACCCAAGGTACTATTTCTGGGTTAGCGGAATCTGTAACCTGAAGCGTCTGTAACCTGAAGCATTTGTAACCCGAGGTACCACTGTATATTAAGTGTACCCATAAGCAAACCTTTTGACCACCCTTCCTCACCCCCTGGTGCTTTCCAGGTGTTTTGTACCACAAGTGCCATCAGTACCCCGGCTACCATTGCCCAAGGGTCAGGAATGCTGGCAGTTGTAGCCCAGAATATCTGGAGGGCACCAGGTAGGTGAAGGCCTTGCCTTACCTGCTGAAAGCATACCATGCAACCATTCTCATTGCTGCCATATGAAACTCCCCTCAGGCATGGTTCAGAAGCTCCAGCTGGTACAAAATGCTGCAGCTAGACAGTTGGTGAAGACAGACTACCACCAACACATAAACCAGGTGCTCCAGAGCTTGCAGTGGCTTACCATATGCTACCAGGGCCAGGTGCAAGATTATTGTAGGATACCTTAAGGACCACTTGATTGCCTTATTTCCCTGCCCAGTCATTGAGATCTTCAGTGCAGTTGCTGTTAGTGGCCCCACATGGCTCAGATACAAATCTTGCATCCACCAGGAAGCGTGCATTAAACAGTGTGGGCCCAATTCTTTGGAACTCCCTCCTGGCAGGGGTCAGGCAGGCCCCCTCCTTGGTAAACTTCAGTTGCTTTGGTGAAGACATTTTTTTTTAAAAAAATCAGCATGCATTTAAAGTTAACTTTTCTAATTTCATTGCTATTTTTAACAGAATTTATCCAGTATATATCTTTTGTAACATTATTCTTCACTGAAACTTTAGAAACTTTGGTGTTCAACAATATATAAATTGTTGAAATATATTGTTCAAAGGATAATTCATTCTGTTTCTTCAAAGAAGTGTTGGGGGTGAGTGGAGAACTCAGGTACAGTAACAGGAAAATAGCTACAGACTAGAGAATCCTTCCCACACTGGACATTAAGATCCAGCTTTTAACCAACTTCCAGTGAATAAGTGGATACCTGGCTGGCCTGTCTCTGCTGTCTTGCAGAAAACACACCACTGAGAAGCACTGTGCAAAGAAGGCCAAGTACAGAGACATGGTGTGGGCACATTAAGTCTGGGGGGGACTTTATTGAATTAATTAACTGGTTTAGTTGATGATACTTCCCTTGGGAAGAAGAAGCTGAATGAAAGCAATAAATGAAATGAAATTAAAATACTGTAAGGTTTTATTTAAAGGTGACATAAGTTACACGTGTAAAGAACAGGACTGAACCTTGTTTTTACAGCTCTGGTCTTGACCATCCATGTGGTGCATAGAACAGGCGCTGCCTTGCTTTTAGAGCACGGATAAGAAACCTGGAGGAACAGATTCTCCCTGGCCTATCCATCTCCCCAAAGTTCATAATTTGCAAAAGTGAAGCTGTTTAGATGAGAGTTGCATTGTTTCTTATCTCACAGGCTAGGCATCCTTCCTATTGGGAAGTGGGAGATCACCCCAGAGACTTCTCTGTCCCTGGAGCAACCTGCCATTTGCCAAAAAGACAGGCAACAGTAGATCAAAAACAGTGCATACTTGGCTCATGTACAGTCATACCTTGGTTTTCGAATGCCTTGTGACTCAAACGTTTTGGCTCCCGAATACTGCAAACATGGAAATGAGTGTTCCAGTTTGAGAACTTTTTTGGGAAGCTGAACGTCCGATGAGGCTTCCACGGCTTCCGATTGAGTGCAGAAAGCTCCTGCAGCCAATCAGAAGCCGTGCCTTGGTTTTTGAACATTTTCAGAAGTCAAATGGACCTCTGGAATGGATTCCGTTCGAGAACCAAGGTATGACTGTATTATTCTTCCAGCCACAACACTGGCTTGGTTAAAAGCTGTGCACAAGGGGGACATAATGCAGCTTTCAACCTTGCAGGTGTCCATTGGCTTATGATATGAGAGGCTGTCTGTGAGACAAAGAGGAATTATGTTGATAAGAAAAAGAACCACATGAACTTTCTCAGCATGTGCCTCCCATTTTGATGCTTTTTTGTGATTGTGTTGTGTGGCATTGCTTCTTAGTTCCAGCAAGTACTTTGCTGGAAAATGAGAGTATCTTGCAGTTATGGGAGAGCACTTAGGAAAAATCAAAGCGAGTCTGGTTGCAGCCCCCTTGATCATCATTTGGCCGTTCCTGTTCTACAGTACTAAATATATTTTGGAACATAGATACCAAACCGCATGTCATTGGGCCCTGAGAAAGTCTATAAGCAGGGACCTGCTAGGAAGCATGAACTGATGAAATTTAAATTATCGTTTATTTTTTGTAAGACATTTTGAAAGGCAGTAGTTCTGCAGAGTCTACAAAGACTCTTCGCATTTGAATCATTAATAAACAAACCAAAGGCTTCCCCCCCCCTTGAAGCTCACACACGCATAGTCAAGTGGTACTTTGACATAGCATGTTGTCATTTTTGATGAGTGCAGTATGTCTGAAAATTATTTAGGAATCTTCTTCAGTAACCATATAATAAGAAAACTAACTTGTAAAGCTATATCAGCTACAATGAAAATTAAGTATGTGTTTGAAGTAAATTCTTTTAAAGCAGAGTAAAAGGCATTGATTCATGTTCTGCACGAAAATAGACTTGAGACATTTCTCATAGAAACGTATCCGTGGGAGTCTTTAGAAGTAAATATTCATATTCTTATGGTTTTTCAGACTTTTTCTAGGCACTTAGAGGACTAACACCTCAATTTCACTTCAAACACTTGCAATACAATACATTAACCAGCAGGAAGTTACAGGCTATTGTAATGAGACAGGAGCCCCTGCTGGTTAATGTATTTGCATTGTGTGTGTTTGATCTGGGGGGGAAAGTTTTGTTATTAGCTCACTATCTCTACCTAACTACGCTCTCAATTCTAGGGCTTTTTGCAATAACAAAAGACACACTTGGGATAGCGTGTACTGTGTACAAATAAAGTTGCTTTCTGTAGACTGTTTATTGATCCATCTAGCCTAAGAGTGTCTCATATAACCAGCAGTGGCACTCCAGCAAGTGCCCTGCTACCTGAAGATGCTGGAAAATGAACCTGGGACCTTCTTACATAAAGCATGGTGCTTCACCCAAGGAGCAATGACCCCTCTCCACCATTTTATTATAATACAACCCAGATGTAAGAACCAGATTTCTAGCTGTTGTTTCCACCTTGCATTTTCCGCTTTTGCAACAATGATGAAAAGAGAAGATCCTGCCGGGAAGACAGCATATTATTATGCTAAGGATGAAAAATAGTACTAAGAGGGTTGAAGGCAGGAGGTCATCTAGTACACTTTCAGATGTTGAGGTTGCCAGATTTCCCTGGTGGCCTGGCCTTTTTACAGCAGTTCCATGTCAGTGACTAAGCCCAACAAGTGTCAGGGCAAAATCAAATAGCAGAATTGATTGTCGAGAATGATTTATAGACTTCTCCTTCTCCTCAGGTGCAGAGTATTTGCTTAGATTTTGCAGTGCCATTTCAAACCTGCACGAGACATTTCTCTTCTTCTAGGAGCCTCTGTTTTTCGATTGCCCTTCTCTGTGCTGCGAATTCAAAATTACATTGTTCACTGAGCAGCTGATTGTTCAGGGAAGATGCATCTTATTGGTGGAAGCATGTTTCCCACAACTATTCTTCACAATCAGTACATGATACACAAGGGAAGTGGAGCTAGTGGGGAGTGAGTTTGTGTGTGTTTTACCCTCAAAGCAACTTGGATGAAATTTTTAAAATGACAATTTTATTTAAAAAGTGTCCAATATGTATGTATAATAAAACTTATATGCAGTGTTCCAGAGTTCTGAAAATTCAAATCCAACATACACAATAGGAGAGAGTCATGCAGCATTCAGATTCATTCTCAAAGCCTTATATTGACATTTGATTCTTCTTTCTACAGTCTCCTCCTTCCAGTCCCTCTTCTTATCCTCCAGCCAGCCAGTCTCTGCCATCCCCTACTTCTGCATTTTACCTGGTATGACTTGCCAGCAGGCCCCAAACTTGGTAGCCATAGTCTAGCATTGACATGGGCAAATGATTATCACTCCCCAATAATTTATACTTATTGGGAAAACATGGCCAAATGGCATAAAGTCTACTGTGAGCAAATCACCATAGTACTTCGGCATATGTTTTGCTGAATTGCTTTCAAAAAGATCCAGGTAGGTAGCCATGTTGGTCTGACGCAGTAAAAAATAAATAAACAAATTGTCCAGTAGCACCTTAGTGACCAACTAAGTTTGTTCTGGGTATAAGCTTTTGTGTGCATGCACACTTCTTCTACAAAAGCTTATACCCAGAACAAACTTAGACACATGATCAGATCAGCATATAGGAAGCATGGGTTATACAGATACTTTCAGAGTTCAGCATTTGGTAAAATGGTTGTGTGATTTCAAGGTAATTCAAACTACATTTACTATGCTACTGGTCTGTCCACATTAGGCAGCATTCTGGTGAACTATTGATTGATGTTGGCTTGGTTTCAGCATCAACCCACATCTTCCACATGCCAGTACAGTATGTGAATTGGGTCTGCATTAAAAAAAAAAATTAAAAAAATAGCCATGGACCATTAGAATATGACTTATATTTATTTCATACTTTTTCTAAGTGCTCAAATCAGTTCACATGCATTTTATATCTCAGTATAATTTATGACAATCCTGTTAGTCTAGCCATTATTTGTATGCCCATATTAAAGATACAGTAAGATTCAGTTTATACTATGAAAACTTATCATATAATATATTAATTCTTAACTTGCTACAAGATCATTTGTCATTTTTGCCCTTAGTTCAGCTATTCCTCTTGAAGTAAAAGGTGTTCATGTCCCAGCTGAAATTTCAACTAGGTAATTTCTAACTCACATCTCATGTCACCCCAAGGCTCAGTCTGACTGGCATTCTGATCATACCCCTTAATTCCTTGTTTTCTTTAACTTCATTCTGCAGGTGACAGTGCAGAGCATGAGCTCTTTATTTAAGCATGACAGAAGAAGCAAACCTTGGGGTACATCAGCTAGTCTCATTAATAGGAGACAAACCAATGCTGTATTGTGTTTTTAATATTTAGTTGGGAGCTGCCCAGAGTGGCTGGGAAAATAATAAATTATTATTATAATTATTATTGCCTTTATAGAGCAAGAACTCTGGATGTGTCCAAGTGCCCCCTGCCAACAGGAGTATGGTTCTTCAGTTTTGAGAAGTACCGTATTTTTTGCTCTATAAGACTCACTTTTTCCCTCCTAAAAAGTAAGGGGAAATGTGTGTGCGTCTTATGAAGCGAATGCAGGCTGCGCAGCTATCACAGAAGCCAGAACAGCAAGAGGGATTGCTGCTTTCACTGCACAGCAATCCCTCTTGCTGTTCTGGCTTCTGAGATTCAGAATATTTTTTTTTCTTGTTTTCCTCCTCCAAAAACTAGGTGTGTCTTGTGGTCTGGTGCGTCTTATAGAGCAAAAAATACGGTAATTTGCTCTGGTGGGAACAGGTCTGCAGTCAAGACCAAGAATACTTAGGATACCTATCTGGATTGGCTCACAACCCTCATGGTTACTCCCAAAGACCACCTGTCCTCCTGGTGGGAAACTTAATGCACCCAACCTCTGGTTGTTTAGCATACCAATAATTTGTTATGAAATCTTCTCCTACCTTTAGCCTCTGTCTCAACTTCATTGTATCCAAAGTTAGTCATATACAGCATAGATCCCTTGAAATGAATAGGCATCATTTCAATAGGTCTTCTCAGAGTAGAACGTATTGGCTGTAACCTTGTTTTCCCAAGGGACCACTTTGCTCTATGATCATGGAATCTAAACCAATTTTTATACATCAGGAATAATAGTACAGAATTTAGTACTTGAAATTTATATATTGCTGTATTGTAAATTGCTTTCGGATGTCTCATGGGAAGTGATTGATAAATGAAGTTATTTTAAAGATAAATGAAGTTATTTTTAATAATAATTCCTAGGGTAGATTGTCCCAACTATAGCTAGCCCCCTTCCTCACTTTGTCTACCTCATTGCCTTGCCTCTCCTCCATGTCTGTTGTTTTCTATCGGCCAGTCAGACACCATTCAGAGGCACAAAGCCACATGTTCCCCCTTAAGGGAATTTGTCTACCTTTGAACAAAGTTCGCAGAGTTGAACTGTATTTCAAGGGACTTGAATCCAGTTCCTCTCCAGACGGGATTCCCTGGATGAAGAACAGAATACAAATATTGAAAGGTAGACTGCAGCTTGCATTCAGAGACTCATGCCTAGCTACTTATAGAGCCTCATTATGCAGCTTGTGACCCCAGAATCTCAGGTCATTGTGAAACTTCAGAAATTCTCTGCTCTCTAGGAGGAATAGGAAATTAGAAGCATTTCAGCTCTTCTGTTTCTCATTGTCTGTTCCTTTTCCAAGATCTTGCTTTCTCCCCCCCCCCACATAGCTCAAACCCCTGCCATTTGCATTAGCCTGTTGCATTGAGACCTCCATGGCAGCCTATTAGACCCCTATTACCCCTCCCCATTTCTTATTTGACAACAGGAATATGTGCCACCTCTGTGAATCTCTATCACAGACACCAGCAAAGTATAAACTGCCAATTCATTCAGCATGGGATTGAGGAAATCTGTCCTTGTGTGTTGTTTCCTGTAACAATTTTATTTCCTTCAACCATTCTAGTGATTCAAGCTCCACAACTATTTTTATTCTCCTGTCCCTTCTTGGCAGTGTGTGTAATAATAAATGAATTTCTTCTGTACCCAGATGGGAATTCAACAATCTTTTGCTAATCTCATCTAGCAGTTAAAGCACAGTGAAACTTCTCTGTGCCATGCCCAAGATTTCAAAATATCATGTGTCTCAGGCAATAACATGTTTACACACATGTCAATGTGATCGGGGACACATGTAGACTCGATAACACTTGGGCTCTTAGCTATGAGGCTATAGCAGAGTTGCATTAGATTCCCTTGTAGATATTTTTTGAGTTGCTTTGTGTGTTGGAATAGATTTTCCTGGCACTTTCCTGGTCCTGACACGGCCAGGGGGAACAGTGACAGCAGTGACAGATGTATCTACTGCTCCAGGAGCCTTGCTGAACATGACAGAGTATCACTAGGCGTGGATATGCTCACAGCTAGTAAAGCGCTACCTCTTAGGATTAGACTGCCAAAGCTGGCAGACTAAGCTAGTCTTGGTGCCAAGTGATCTTGCCCAGCTGTTAGGAGATGTCTGAGTCTTTTCTGTGTTGTTTCATGTCAGCAAAATGGGTGATGTGTGGCTGTAGGTAGCTACATCAGGTTTTCTTTTGAGCTGATTCCTGAAGTGGATATAACTCTCAAGAAAGAATGGGGGGGGGGAGCTGCCTCATGCCTTACTGCACTCCATAAATGGATAATTTTAATAATGTGCCAACAGCAGCAGTTTGAAGTAACTCAATGAGTAAAAAGGTCACCATGCCCATAAGTTACTCTAGCATTTGATCAGCGGACTCCTTTTTTGAAAGACTTTTAAGTCTCATTATTCACTGCTTATAAAGTCACTTGAGATATAAAAAGACTTTTTATAGTAATGAAAGAACTCCCACAATTAGCCAGAAGGCAACCATCTATCTTTTTAAACTGCTCAGCTCAGAGAAGACCTGGAGTTTCAAGCACTGGTACAGGATGAATTGTGATGACAATGATAAGTTGCCCATTCATATGGCTCATATAGTCCTTGCCGTACAGCTTGTGGGTCTCCCCCCCCCCTTTTCTCTTTCCCTCCTCCATTTTTTTAAAGAAAGATGTTTCTGAGGAAGTGTTGGGGCCTATAAATAACACACAAGATGGCATTTATTATAGGTAAGTTGAACATGTCTAATTTGATCTAATGTAGCATTTAAAGCAGCTAGCAGTATGGTTATTCACTAAGGAAATCGTTGCTTTTCTTATGAATGAAACTGAAATATGATGTTTGGTGTAAAACAAGGAAAGTGGAAACTTACATGGAAATAGTCATCCAAATTCAGCCATCTTCCCCCTTACCTATGAAAACACCACCATATACAACATATTTCACAATGGCTACGTAATATGTGGGCCAGTAAATTGCCAAGCAAAATAAAGTATTTTTAAGTTTGTAATAATTGACTGAGAAATTCTAATTATGCTAAATGATAAATCCATATATTTTATGTGTATTAGAGCTAGCTGAATTCATATCACCATAAGGCAGAATTACAGTAATTAAAAATCAGTTGGTCAATATAACATGCAATTTGCATATTAAATACACTCTGGGCTCATTAAACCACCATCTGGGAAAGCCTAGAAATGTGGATTATCATCCGGATGTGATATATGCAGATTCTACATTTATTCCAGTTTCCTGACACCCCATTTTGTTTGGTGACAGCATGGCAGTGCTCCCAATACAGTCTGATACAACCAGAATTCTTGAACAGTGGCTGTTTTGACAGGACATCTGGTGTGATAAGCTAGTGAACTTGGAAAAATGGGGAACCCCTACAGAAAGATATATGTATATAAATAGGAAGAGTGATAGAGCCGGGTGATTTGCATACTTTACATGTTTTCTCCAGTCTGGATAGGCACTCCTGAATATCATGCTGTTCCATACCCTCCAACTTTTCTCCAATGAAAATAGGGACATCCTATTCAATAATAATAATAATAATAATAATAATAATAATACGCTGCTGATCTGACTGGGTTGCTTCAGTCACTCTGGGCAGCTTCCAACATATATAAAAGTTAATTATCTCCTTGGTTCGTGTGTTGCATTTCTCCATACCCTCCAACATCTCCTAAGGAAAAGCAGGACCTTCTGGGATCCAATCAGAAACCAGGATGGCTTCTGTAAATCCAGGACTATCCCTGGAAAATAGATACACTTGGAGGGTCTACTGTTCCCTTTGTGCAGGTAAATTTCACAGGTAATGAAAGCTTTCTCTCAGGCAACACTTTAGTTGTTGATACAACTGGAAGAACCATGATGCTTGGTCATATACATATTCTTGTTAGTGTTGACAATATCCAGCGGATTCCCTTTTTTATTATTATAATTGCTCTCTTCTGCTTAACTCTTATGGATGGAACTGGAGGCCTAGGAAACATGAGGATCTTCCATTGGTTCTTCTAGATAACTATTGTCTCTGCTGACCAGCAAGCCATTGAAACAAGGACCTTATGGCTACATCACTGAGCTATGGCCACAACTCTTCAGGTTGAAGACAATCTTCAAGTCAAACTGATTTATCCCAAGGATAAGATAGTTGCTTGTTGTGTGTCAGCATATGTAGTACTGGCTAGATAGAATCTCAAAGTGGAGTGTACACTAACGTGTCCCTGCCATGGAATTTTGCCAGTGAGGTTTGGCTAACTGTGATTTGTTGGCTTTGGGGAAGCAAGGTGTTTTGTTTTGTTTTGTTTTGTTTTGTTTTGTTTTGTTTTTTGCCCAGGTTTCTTAATGTCATCTGTAATGGGTTTAGGGGTTGCTCGTGCGTAAGTTGCCACCACTCCTGGCTAGGTTACCTGGTTAACCCTTTCTGACTGAACAGCCTCCAGCATCGTGACTGTCTCAGTCGCTGGCAGAATCCGTCAGTGGGCGTTTCTTAAACTTTTTCCAGCACAAAAGTTCCTTGACGCCAAGTCTCCTCCTACTCTCCCTGCGCAGAAGACTTCCGCGCAGGGAGAGTGTGGGCAGCGGAGTACCCGTACTCTCTCCGCTGGTCTCCGGAGAGGAGTCTTGGAGCCTCCTCCCCGATTCCCCCATCTGCCCCCCTTCTCTACTGGTGTTACGCTGATTTCCTTCCCCAGCAGACGGACTCCCTCTCTCCCTACTGGGACCCTCTCCGCCATCCCTTTGGAGCCTCCCCTCCGCTTCCAGCTCCGATGGCAGTTCCCTGACATCATCTTTTAGGGTGTTTTCAAAAAACAAACAAATCCTGAAGCTGTATTTGTTCTCTTACTTGCTTCTGTTGAGGCTGCTTTCATATTTATTGCAGTTTGTGTTTTATTTTTATAACTACCATGGCCTTGCACTAATAAAGCACGTTGCAAGTACCTGTAATATACAATAGCAAACGAAGAAGCACTTTTCTTAAAGAGACAGTTTGCTTTTGGCAACACTGAGCCAAACTCAACACAGCAAAACAACAAGAAGAGTGGGCCTCTTGCAGTCTAAAAACAAAACAGAAACCAACACAAATTTGTTGAGGTTGTTATGGGTTTGACATTGGAACCACAATTTATCATTAGGATAGCACTGGATAGTCATTTTACTTCCTGCCCTTTATATCATCTATTTATATCTCCTCTTCCTTCCCTGTGCTTCATTTCACAAATGTGCTTGTGTGCTTGCCAAAGATATGGTTTGACTGCCTTTGGGAATGGCAGTGGGCCAGGGCCAGTTGGTTGCTAGAGCTAGCATGTGCATGTGTGTGCATCAAAGACAAAAAGAACCCCCTGTTTTCTTGTTTTCTGATATTGATAAATTTATGCACGTGGCTGGGTTTAGAGAGATAATCAAAGGGGGATGGCTCCTTTCCAAGCAGCGGCCACCAGCCACTCTGGGGAAGTTTTTGACAAGTGGCCCAGATTTCACAGTTTATCCAAAAGGCGAAGAGTGTTCATTAAACAGAAGCTTTATTAAACAAGGCAGTAATATGGTTTCTATGTGGGGAGATATGCTCTTTACTTAACATTCACAAGTTGCTTATGGATTAATTAGCCCATCTGCTCCAACAAATGTATCCCAACCTCTTTTGTTGAGACCAAAGAGACCAACCGCAGAAGCCAATATTTTTATGCTCTTTATTAATTGATTACAGTTATATCCTGCATTCTACCTATGGAATTCAAGGTGAGGTACTTGTGCTTTCTAAGCAGCCACCTGCCCCAACATTGACCTGACTTAAATCTTTAACAACATATGTATCATCGGCCTCCTGGATTCTATTTGGGGGGGTGTGTGAAAACATTCTAGAAACAAGGTGTTCTTTTTCATAAAACATACCCGAAAATTATATAGTCTGCAGTAAATCTTAGCAAGAAAGAGACCAACCTAGCCCCATCCATTGGCCAGAGAATGAATAGGTGCTTGCTTTCTTCTTCCTTCTCCATTCCTTTTTTCATTTCATATCATGTCTATTAGATTGTGAGCCTGTGGGCAGGGACTGTCTTACTTTTTAGTATCTGTTGGCACTTAAATTATTTTTACTTAAAATGTTCAAACTCCATTTCTAAATGTGCAAATTCATCAAGGGCAGTTCTTTATCCTCTGAGAAGCAGTCTTGGAGAGATGATGAATCCCTAGCTCAGAAAGGTAATCATAGGCAATGTTTTCATCCTGCTCCCAGTGCTGTTTATCCATGTAGATGGAAAGGTGATGGAAGAAGCCCTAAATGGGAGAAAAAGCAGTCTTGGGACAAAATGAGGGTGCAAAGGGCAGGCCTGCAGGCAGCATTAAAGCCCTCTCTGCACATGTTTTGAGTGATACACCCAGTGCTTTCTTTCAAGAAAAATAGTTGCCAGAACCCATCATGAAGTTGTTACGGTAAGTTGCCGGGCAACTCGGGGCAGCCCTGAACAGATGCTGGTTTGACAACAGCTGTGTTCACCGCTGGTGGAGGTTCTAAAAACTATGACAAGCTGTCTCTGTATCTGGTTTGGCAGTCGTCTTTGGTTCTGGTGCAGGTCAGATAAATGCATCCCCACCTCCCTCGTTCTTTTAGATTCAGGCGGATGGCTAAGGCAGCCTGGAATGGCCCTCGTGCAAATGTGTGCAAGTGTAGTGGTAGAAGCCCAGCTGGAAAGCTTAAAGCCTGCTACCACTACACAGGAAACAAATTGAAGAAAAGGAAATATGAATTGGCCCTGCACCATAGCTTAACCAATTGCAGCTAGGAGCTAGGTGGAGTCATAGATCTAAAAAAAGAAGTATAAACTTTCACACACTGGCCAGCTTCCATTTTGACTTGAAATATTCATTTTGGGCTTCTCAGAAGTACATAAAGGCAAGAAGCGGATGGGGTGGAGCACCAGCCTGCAATGTTGCGCACCTGAGAGGTGCCAGAACTGCACTCTGGTGCACTCTGACTGATAAAAAAGAGCACTGGATACACCAGTTGTGTTGCCGGTGCTATGAATTCATAAGTTGGAGAGCCAACACTTTGATTTTTAAGCTAGACAACCTAGACCCTTATATGACTAGAGATGAGCACTTGTTTCACTGGATGAGGGCAATCATCTGCAGCAAGTAACTTTTGCAACTACCACTAAGAGGTTTTATCCATTTTCCAGGCTGCTTACCTTAAAAGACCTTTCTCCTTTTGCTGTACCCCTGTCTACCTGTCCTATAATAATATAGGCAACTGGCGCTTCAGGGTCCCTGATATAGGAATCCCTTGAAAATGCTAGATGCCTTAGACCAGTGTTACATCAGCACATCTGATGTCCACAGCACATGCTCCAGGCAATCCGATATTTCTACTGGTTTGTGCAAATGAGAGGCGCCATAGTGGGCTGTGCAGTCTGCCCACCTGCTTTGAGCACAGAAACCAGGCAGACTGGCACTTTTCTTTTCCAGTGAATGTTCTTGTGTAAAGTAGAGCACACACCAAAAGCATGAAAAAGTCAGTGTAAGAGACATAGGGGGTCTGAGGCATGTGCTGACGCCTTTCCTTTCCCCAAAGGTAACTCTTAATGGGAACACATTGTGGTGAGATTTGCTACCAGGTAAAAAAGACACTTTTCATGCTAGGAGCAAAGAAGTATATTGCAAACTCCATATGCATAGCAATAATAATAATATAATATATATTTATTTTTTTAATATTCATTGAGGAGATGTTAACTGCCATTATATACTGCGTGTATCTTTTCTTTTCTTTTTTGCCAAAATTGGCAGGATTTCTAAAATGGGTGACCTTTAGTCAGAATAACTAACAGTGTTGATGAACTTCAAATGATGATTAAAAGAAGATGGTTGTGTCCTCAGTGCTTTACATCCTCCAAGGAAATCATATGAGGATGGAAGCATTCTAAAGGTCATGGGATCTCCCCCCACACACACACACTTTGAGGTAAAAAAGAAATGTTGAGGGAGAACAAATTTAATTGTGAAGTGAAATACTTCTTGTGTAGTCATTAGCAGGTTAGATTTCTTCCTTGCAGCAGCTTTTTCAACCTAGTAGTTGGTTCTACATTCTGCTGCTGTGCTCTTTTGGTTTTGGTTTACAATCATAAAACGGGATTACTACATTTATTTATTTATTTTGCCTGTGGTTAAACATTAATGTAACAATGCTACATTACATTGTCCACTAAGAGTGTATTTCTTAGCTTGCTTCTTTTTTGTTATTATTTGAAGACAATTTTATACAGTCTCAACATCAGAAGGTTTTACAATGATAATAACCCAAATACAGTCAAAAGCATATATGTTTTCAGTAGTACCAAATTCTTCACTCCCCACATACCCATCACTCCCCTTCACCCATGTGTGATCTTCTTTACACAACATTATTCCTCATTGTGTTAACCAAAATTTATGTTTATTATTCCATATATATTATAGTAACGTCTTGTCTCCTTGCATGGTTTGCCTATTGGATATTAAATTTAGGCTCTAAAACCTAATCTTTCTATATATTCCTTTACACACTCCCACTCTTTAAGTTTTTGATTTGAGCAGCCCCTAATTGTTGCTATTCATTTTGCCATCTTGGCAAATTCACAGATTTTAGCTCTCCATTCTGATATTTGTGGTGTTTTTCCTCTTTTCCAATTTTTTGCCACTAATAATCTGGCTGCTGCTGTTGCTGCTGCAGCTTGCTTCTTATATACCCAAGTATGTACGTATATCTGTTATCTTCGATTGTATCTAACACTGTGTGTACATTTCCTATATTCTCCCTACAGCCCCTGGAGGGGACCCTCTAGAGCAGATTTTGGGGCATGGGTGCTGCAAGGAGGTAGAGAGGAAGATATCCTGTTGCCTGAGCTGATGTCAACTCATGCAATGCTCATTTCCACCCTTTAACTGTAAATCACTAATACAAGGCAGGGTGGATAATCCATTTCTCTTACATTCTTTTCCCTAGATGTATTTTTTAAAGGATGCAACAAACATGTACTTTTTATTTTCTCTGCTTCTTTCTATTTCCAGGAGAATAATATTTGGGAGTCGCTCTATATATTATAGAAAAGCCGTAACAGGATTTTGTTTGCTATCTAACATTTGTCTTCCGTCTTGCTTTGGCGTCACAGAAGAGTTATGGTTAAAGATTATATAAACGTTGATAAAAGATTAGATAAATCACAACATTCTGCTTCTGATATCCTTTCTTTAATGCTAAAGCTGGGTGACATTTGTTTTGTCTTAGGTCAATGGGAAGGATCTTTCCAAAGCCACCCATGAAGAGGCCGTGGAGGCTTTTCGGAATGCAAAAGAGCCCATTGTAGTCCAAGTCCTTCGGAGAGCACCTCTCATCAAAACACCTGGGAGCTCACAGGATGTTCGGCTCATGGATGCTTGCACACAGACAGATATTACGTTCGAGCACATCATGGCTCTGGCCAAGCTAAGACCAACCACACCTCCGGTACCGGATATCTGCCCCTTCCTGCTTTCTGACAGGTATGATGTAGGATTTGTTTCTGCGGCCCCGGGAACCAATGCAACAAATGATCACTACCAAAACAAGACTGGATCTCCTAGGCAGAAGCTGGCTGTTCTGAAGTTCATTGATTTCAGTAAACTAGGAGATTCATGGACAGGGGGCTGCAGCCCCCATTTTCAACTGCAATGTTTTATTTTGACATTTTGTAATGCTTTGTGTGATGCTTTAATTCAGGTTGTAAACCACTTTATTTATTTATTTATTTATTTATTTATTTATTAAAAAATAAAGCAGTATTGGAATTATTCAAATAAATAAAATCTTAAGAAAAGTGCCCTGTAATGACTTGGAAACCCATAATCCATTGTGGATCAGACAAATTTATGGAGGATAGGTTTTTCAGGTGTAGTGTGGGGCTGAATACAGTTGCATTAGGACACAGAAGAGGCTATTGTCTCATGCATCAAAGCATCTTCTTAGCCAGCGTGGAGAACAGGTTGCTAGAACTGGTGAGCCTTTGAACTGATCTAGTAGGGCTCTTCTTATGCAGATCTGTGTGTTTCTAGGTTCTGCATGAGTTTGGAACTCTTCTACTGAGAAAAAAATAAAACGTCCACTACAATGCTGGCTTTAGTCCTGTTCAAGTGTTTGGCCAAAGCTTGAGCAGCCAAATGTGTGTAGAGTTTATTGCAAAGCTTTGAAATGGACTAGAGGTGGTTGGAAGTCTGCTTGATCAAGAACCCTATGTCATCAATGTGCAAAGGTCTGAGAGGGAGCCTCATGCCTGGGGACACCAGGGTGAATCTTACCTGTGCACCCATGTGCTTTTACTGCGTTTAACCCCTTGTGTGTTCAGGCAAATCTCGGACAAGGCTGTTGGCTTTCTCCATTCTCAGGTACCACACTGTATCAGTGACTTCTGGGATTTCTGTTCTGTTTTGTTGCATCTTTGTTTTCAAGACAGAAATGGTTATCTCAAGCCAGAGCTGCCTCCTTGAATGCCCAGAATTTTATTGGGTGTCTCCAATAATTCCGTTTTGAATGCATTCAATCAAAGATTTGCCCAAACTGTTTGAATATCTCTGTATTTGAAGCAACACTACAGTTTGCTGTATTATTTCTGTCCAGCCTATTTTAAGAGGTTTGGACAGCCTGAAGATCTTCATGGGTCTATTTCAAATCTCAGGCTCTTCTAAATAATATGCTGTACAATATTTTTTTTTAAGCTACAGAGCTGGGGGTTTTTGAGGACTTCAAAAATTTAAAAAATCTGGTTTTAAGTGCCTAACCTGCTCTTTTTGTTCTATGTTGTTCCACACAGCTGCCATTCTCTTCATCCAGTTGAACATGAATTTTACGAAGGTAATGAATACCTTTCCAGTCTGCCTGCAGATGTAGATAGAACCGAGGACTTTGAGTACGAGGTAAGACCATTGGTACAGCTCCCCACCCCCATCCCCTTTACAGTATAGTTTTTGCACACCTGCAGTCGAATGCCTTCGAAAGACATAATTTAAAATGAAATAGCAAAGCTCACTCTGGCCTCCGTCACACCCGTACAATGTCTCAGTCAGATATGCCCCTGGGTCTGAAACAGTATGAATGAAAGCAGAACATTGATGGGCATCAGATTGTGGGTTCACAAGGCTGATTAAATGCGCCACATGGTTCTCATGTCAAATTGTTAAGCTGTGCTAGTTTTATGCTGCGTCCTTTCCTATGAGTGCATTAGAAAGGTCTAATTGCTCATTTTCAAAGGGAGGAAAGGGAGAAACGTTCTGCTGTTTCCCTAGCTTGATCTTGTAGGATCGTGGAACCTGGACTTTGCAGATCAAGGCCCGTGCTGTAAAATGAGAGATTCTTTGTCTATTTCTTTTACATTACGATTCCCGAATGGAGTACAATGAGAACAAATTGTATGTGGTGCCATGAGTATCTTATCTATTGTGTATTTATTCTATCTGTTGAGAGGCTATTGAAAAACTGTGATGTATCATTTCCCCAAATAATAGCACACTTTTAGAAATGTTGGTCCTTTGTTAGATTTTCATTTCAAAATCTAAAGGTTCTCTTTATTTGACAGCCATTAGATGTTTACCTTTATTTTAGCATAGTGGCAAAAGACCAAGTGTACCCTTTTAGGAATATATTATGTTCAGGCTTTGTATGGGTTTTAAGTTGCAAACAGAATTTTTTTTTTTTCATTAGATAGCTTCCATTCAATAGCACTTGGGATTAAAAAACGGCCACAAAAAACCCTGTTTGTCTTTATTATATTTGGTCTGCCTTCAGGACATGTAATGAAACCTTGCTTGATATTTGGAAACTAAACAGAGTAGTTGAAGCTTTGACAAAAAGGCAAATGGGGATCTTTAATGGCACTCTCCCCGCCCCCCCCCCCGCCCCCCGTTATTGAGACAAGGCTAGGGAAGTCTGCAATTCTTCCCACAGGACAAAGGAAAATGAAATAATGTTGGCTCACCAAGCTTACCTAGGATAAAATTTATTTGCACTGTTCTAATAAATCATTGAGAGATTGGTAAGAAAATTCATCCCCCCCCCCAAAAAAAAGAAAACTAGTCTTGCGAAGATCAAGAAAAAGCTACTAAATTCCTGGTTAATATACTAGCTTGTTTACTGAGTAAGTGGTTGTGTGAAAGCTTATGTGTAATACAATTATTTGTGTGATGGGAATGTTACAAATACTAAAATGCAGTCTGATTGTATGTGTATATATAAAGAGATTAGCACTGTAGAATCATGTCCTCTTCATGACTATTATTAATCGATAATAATAGCCAGTATAAGTATTATGACAGTGGTAAATGAGCAGGTAGGTGTTCAGTAGTCGGTAATATCTACTAATCACACCCTCCTAGTCATTAATTTGCTGTCAGCTATGATTCAGTAGCCCAAGGCAAACCCACTGATTGACTAAAATAGAGCATGTTTCACATGAAATTTAAATAGGAAAGGAGCTGTCTAGTTTGCAATGAGAAGAAAGATATGTTCCCGAAGAAGTGGACAGTCTCCATTCTGTCAGATCCAGATAGGAAAGGCAATTCCTGTGGCATAGGATGGAACAAAGCCACTGTACTTGACTTCGTGTTAAAAATAATCTTGGTTATGATAATGAGGCAACATTTTATTCACACAGCTTTGCACACATACCGCACTATGAGTCACCACTGTGTTATCCACTATCAGCCTGATCTAAAGTCTGTTGGGATCAGTGGTAAAACTGGATCAAACTCACGTCTACATGCAAGATGGAAATACGAGAAAAAGTCTGAGTCATATGGCATAGTGGAGTGCCCTGCACCTAAATTCTCGCCTGTGGACTTCCAGTGATCAGAGCTATATCAGCAGCGATGCAAAACAGTCAGAGGTTGGGGGCATACTGAAATTAGATGCTACGTGGCTCATAGGCAGTGAATGTTCTGAAGACTATATACTTTCGTCGGGGCACAGGGCATACCTCATGCAGACATGCCCTCCCTGTGGTCTCAGGTTTCACTTTCTGATTAGAGATTTAGTGCAGGTTAGAACAGAATAACAGGGTGCGAGGGAGGCTTCCAGAACAACCCAAAACTACTCGCAAATCTATCACACGAAACAGGCAAATTGTCTCATTCAAATAAGGTATTCGTGACGGCGGAGTTAACTGCAAAATTAGATATTTTCAGATTTATTCAACCCCTCCCGAATTCCCCTTCATTTTTTTGTTGGTGGTCTAGCAAGAATATGTTCTATGTAAGTATTTAGGGCCTTTCAAAAAGCCAATGATGGACCCAATAGACTGTAACAGATCTGTCTATCTTGTGAATGCATATTTAGAGTCTTTTCAACACATGGCTTATTTGCCCACTAGACCAAAACAGATTTGTCTATCTTGTAAAGCCATATTTAGGGACTTTTTAAACACAAGGATTACTAAACTGATAGCCTGTAACAGCTCCCTTCAGAGCTCTGATAGCCTCTAGCCAACCCTTTGCAAATATTACTATTAGTTTTGTAAGTATGGCTATGTTTCGTGCATGCTTAAAAGCTATGCATTTCTACACCACACACACTAATTTTTTGCTGAAAGAACTTACTGTAGCGGTACTAAAGTCCATTTTTTTATTTATTAGTGGGCCACATTTGAATCTTGGTTCTTAAATCTGAAACTAAGTTTCAATGAACTATTGGAACTCCCCACCCCCCATTAAACTTTCTTGCTCCAAAGATGAACTTCTTTCAATCAATTTAACCTCATGTGTTTGACCTTTTGCACCTAACATGACCTACCCCTGAATACTGGTCAGAATTTAACTTTGGAATTTTTTACCATTGACAATTGTGTCTCTGGATTTTTTGTGCATCAGGGTGTCACGCATAAGGCTCAGAGACCATGTCACACACTTTGGGGTTATGTTTGCCACGCTTTACACAACTCAGTTATTTTAAGGACAAGGTAGCTAATAACCATTGTAGGAACAGACTCTTGACAATGCCAGTTGCTGTGTGCCATGGTGTCCATTCCTCATCTGTTATTTTAAAATGTGCAGTGCTGGGTTGTAACTACTGTGTAGCATAATATAGCATGGGGCCACTGGCAGAGGAAGAGGAGTGCAGGGGGAGCGCACCGCCCCCGGCAGCACAATCCCGGTAGGGTGCCATCATGGTTGCCCCCTGCCTGCGCTGGGTGCCACGCCCCCAGGACAGGCGCCACGCCCCTGCAGGCAGTGTGCCCTCCCCTCAGGATGCATGCCACACCCCTGCAGACAGTGCGCCACGTCCCAGGACACACACCAGCCCCGCCCCGCCTGCTCTCCACCACCCGGTGCCAGATCATGAAGCTCTGCCACTGCATGGGGCTCTGCAGAAAGTTCAGAACCTGTCAGAAAGTTCTTCCTGATATTTAGATGGACTCTCCTTTCCTATAACTTGAATCCGTTGATTGCCTGTGTGCCTGCACCCTGGAAAAGAACATCTGTTGCTCACCCTTAAGTCTTTGAATTATATTTTCAATGAAGTTTCCAGTGATAAACAAACTGTCCAGCTCTGCCTTTGATCCGAACTATAGGATTGCTGTGTTTGTCTGCAGTCCCGAATATCACAACCGTACAGTAGATCACTGTAGAAAACATTTATGCTTGTAGTCGTTAAAATTTCAGTCCCTTCCTTTATATCCAGCTGAGGTCATTCCCCCCTCCCCTGCCCCAAACTTGATATAAATCAGAAGGAGCCCTGAGCAAGTAAAAGTCAGATTCCAAATTCAGCAGCCACGAGAAATAATTTAAAATAAAGGCCTTGAAGAAATATTGTGCTCTCTAACCACAGTCCTAATAAAAGATATATTTGTTATAGCCTAGAACAGTCAAAGTCATGAAGAGGGTTATAATTTTCCATTGCAATTATATCTGGAACATTTGAAGGGACAGAAGACTAGTATAGAGGACAAACGGATCTATATAGAGAGTACGGGGAGAGTGTGGGAATTGGGCTGTGTGGTGAAAACACAGTGGGTTGAATCCAATGGATAAGCAAAGCCACACCAATGGGATGTTCCCATGTGTGAAATGGGGTGATGCAATTTTAGTAAATTCCTTCTTCCCCCTGCATGCCCCTCTGCTTCACCCAAAAACTTCTTTGGCGTGTCCCATTTCACAAATAGAAGAGGTCATTTTGTGCATGTCTTGTTGGTTTGTAATGGAAGAGGAAATATTCCCATTGTGGCAGGGGAGAATGATAGTGATCACTTATTTCAATGCATCAATACTCTGGCTACCAATGTTGCTCATAGGGGAAAACATCAGCTCACAACAGCTCTCAGGGCCTTGCGCTTGTTGGTATGGACTGCTATGCCAGGGAAGCAGCTCATAGGATTACCTTGATTGGGACTATAAATACACGTATTCATTATTCTTGGTACTGTACTGTAATAAAGCTTTATCTGTCCCCCATTTTTTTTAACGCAAATGCATTTTACAAACATTAAGAGAGGGCAATGCCATGTTGTAATGCACTTGTGTATTATTAGTCATGTCTTAAGTGGGCCAGAAATGGACAAACTTGGTTAAACTATCTGTCTAAGGTCATAGAGGAAGTTGGTAATCGGGATGGCAAGCCAATATCGTATCAGTTATTCTAACTTCTAAATCACACTTCCTTGTATTTTTTTATTTTTTATTTTTTGTTATCTAATCTAGACATAAGTGGATCACTGAGGTGAATCAGGATATCAAGTCAGTTTCTGTCATGCTTGTTTATTCTTAATCTTTACGTCTATTTAGAAGTGCTCATCATTTAGGGGGGAAAGGCTGGCATTCAGAGCAGATGAGATTGCCATCATCTGTAGCTGTCACTGGTAATGAATATCCCAATTTATGGACTTCAATTGTGTCCCTAACTCAGGGGTATCACTAGGGAGGAAGCAAAAAGGACACAAAGCTGACATAGGTAAATCTATCAATGTTATCGCTAATCATCCTGTTGGTGTTAACAATAGAGTAGGGAATACATCAAGCTGGTGATTTTCATTTTGTTTCATAAAACAAGTACAGGCCTACTCCTCATTTCACTTGGAAGATAAATAAAATTTATGCATTAATGTCACACATTATGGCTCCCACCCCACCCCTAAGGAAATGAAGAAAAGTGAGCTTGTTGTTTGGCATGGCTATGCTACCTTTTATTCGTTTGTGGTTTTTTCCATGCAGAAGGTTCCTGCAATTTTCTCTCCTTTTGTGAATGAGCTGATATAAATCATCCACTTCTGTAGGTTTATATGGATGCTAATGCATCACATCATCATGTATTCTCTACATAACACGCAACTGTTCAAGAAATGTTTCAGAAATGCACATCATATTTCAAAGTCATATTTTCAGTCTGCCTTAAAAGAGGCTTTTGAATTGGTTCAAGAGGGAGCCAATTTTTCTGGCATGTGAATTCCAGTAAACATGGGATCACATAGCAATTGAATTGTGAGTGGGAGGTTTACTCCAGGTGTTTGGGCATAAAAATAAGGGGAGATTCTTGCATTACAGGTATCACTGGATTAGCTGCATGTACTGGAGACACTATTCCTTGGTGTCTGCACTGCCACATCGGTTACTGCCTGCTGTTTTCTCCTTCTCCTTCTCCTTCTCCTTCTCCTTCTCCTTCTCCTTCTCCTTCTCCTCCTTCATTCATGGCCATTCAGTGCCACAGTGATTCCTGCTAGCCCTGAGCAGTTAGCTAGCCTGTCAAGTGCTATAAAAATCATATGAACTGCCATGTCGACCTCTGCCACATAGAAAACATTTTTCAGTGACCTCTGCATAGAGGCAGTAAAGATTGAAATGGTCATTAGCCTGGTGTTTTATCAGCATTTGGCATATGCAAGAGCCCTAAACTGCAATTCAGGCAAATAAGCAGATTTCCAACAGATGTCGAGCATGCAAGCGCTCTGCTCTGCAACTTGACTTTAATTAACATGCCAAAATAGTTTTCACAGAGTTTTAGCTAACAAATGCTCAGATGTGTGGAACTGCAGCAACTGTGGCAATTTTCAAAATGCAGTTGTGTATTCTGATGGCTAGATGAATGTTCCTCTGAACATATGCCGGCACATCTGTTGTATTGCCTGCATCTTGATTGGGTGGCTATCTGCTGAAAAATATGATGATGCGATAAATAAATCTCTCCCCTTACTTCCTGAGCCAAAAGAAGCAACAGCGATGTTTGCTCAGCAAAGTATACAATAGTAATATGAGGAGGAGGAGGAGGATGAACCCATAACAAAACTAAATTATGACTTCCACTATTATGCAGGGGGAAACTGGTGAAGTCTAATTATGACATGCTGACATTCAGTTAATCTGAAATGATGGGGCAGCAACCACAGCAACCATCTGTGAAACTAAATATTATCATTATATACAAAAGGACAGCTCTTGGAGTGAAAGTCTTCATTTTAATGCAACCCTTACATTTGGGTGCCTTGTGCTAAGATAGACCATTGATTCATTTAGCTTAGCATTATCTATGACTCTACACTGACTGCCCATAGCCTTCCAGGGTTGCAAGCAAGTCTCTCCCAGCCCTGCCAGGGATTAAAGCTGAAACCTTCTGCATGCAAACCGGATGCTCTGCCACTGAGCTGTGGCCCTAACCCTGGGTGCCTTTTAAAAATTGTTATATTGGCCACTTTCCAGGAGGGACCTCTGGCTGTTCAGCAGGGCTTCCTCTCCCTCTTCTCTCACCTCATTCCCCATGCATTTCCCAAATCTACTCCAGAATAGATTTGGGGACCACAGGTGAGGGGAGCCCTGTTGTGCTAGTGGAAGTCCTTGCACCAATGGGACAGCTTTGTTGGCTACAACCTTAGCTGGTTTCCTGCTTCTACTATTTTAATAAGTGTTGTTGCTTTCAAGAAACATTTTCCCTTTTTTCCCATTTCTTTTTCCTCATTCCTTATTGTTTGCTTGTATTTCTTTTTCCACGGTTGTGTTGCTTTTTGTTCCCCTCATTTGGACAATACTTCCATTTTCTGAAAGAAGCCTTATTGTCTCTAATAGCTTCCTTGACTCTGCTCATTTATCATGCTGGCATTGTCTTGGTCTTGGTGGTACCTTTCCTGAACTGTGGTATACATTCAAGCTGAACTATTATTGTGGTTTTTGAAGAGATTTGACCCTCTTGACTTTGCCTTTCAACTTCCTGCTTACCAATCCCCTCACTTTGCAGAAGCTTCTTTTTTATGTCAATTGTCACTCTGTTGAATTACCTTGGCAATTGTTCACTTATGATTTATGTTTCATAATACTATGGTCATTCGGTTCAGCAACACTTTGGACACCATTTAAGATTAGGTCCAGGGTTGTCTGTCCTCTGGTTGATAGTATGACCAACTGTTCCAGAGCATTGCCACGTAGAGTATCTAGAAAATTTACCTCTTTGTTGTGATCAGAGCATGCATTTCCTTAGTCTATGATTGTAAATCATTTCAGGACTTTTTGAAGTGATTTATTAAATAGCAATTTACTAAACCTAAACCACAGTGAATCTGGCTGTGGGCTTCCCCTTTTCATATTTCTAGTTATTTTGAATCAACATCCTTTTCAACATGCAGTATGCGTTTTCATGCCCTTTCTATGGAGCTTTTGTCCAGATATAACCATGCTCAACCAAATTATCATTATGCCCACTGTATCTATGTTCTCCTTTAAGAGCACCAAGCATTCCAAGTCACTCATCTTGGTTCAGGGCTTCTAGCACTAGCATATAAACACCTGTGCACGACAACTTTCCCCAAATGTTTCTGAAACATGTGTTTTCCCTTATGGTGTTCTGGCCTCTAGAATGGCACCAAGCTATCAGGTGGCTATCATGTCCCCCTGGATGTGTGCACCAAGCACACACCCACAACTTCCATCCAGGAGTTTGGATTTGATATCCTGCTTTATCACTACCCTAAGGAGTCTCAAAGAGGCTAACATTGTCCTTTCCCTTCCTCCCCCACAACAAACACTCTGTGAGGTGAGTGGGGCTGAGAGACTTCAGAGAAGTGTGACTAGTCCAAGGTCGCCCAGCAGCTGCATTTGAAGGAGCGGAGACGCGAACCCAGTTCCCCAGATTATGAGTCTACCACTCTTAACCACTACACCACAGGAGACAGTAGTATACATGTGCCATTCTGAACAATACACTGGATAACTCCAGACTGCTGCTGGTTTTCTACCATCACACTTGCTATTGTTGTTTATTGAGTTTCTTCACTTGTGGGTTTGCCTTATTGCTCTGATGTAATAATAATAATAATAATAATAATAGGCGGGTTTCCCCAGCCACTCTGGGCAGCTTCCAACAAAATATTAAAATACAATGCTGAACTCATACTTGTGGGCTTCCTAGAGGCATCAGGTTAGCCAGTGTGAGAATTAGTGCTGGGTAAGATGGATATTTGCCTCATCCAGCAGAGCTGTTCTTGACATCAGCTGGGGCTCCCCTCTTGCTTGTAGAAACTGTGAAGTATGAAAAGAAAAGCTGGTTTTATATTAGTCAAAATTAGAGGACCCATCATTCTTGAGGGAGCTTAAACATTCTCCTAATAAACTGAAGCATCTTATTTTGTGAAGAAAACAGTGCTTTGATCAGGACGTCATTTTCCAGCAAGGGTTTGGAAATACACAACCGGAAAACATAGAAGATTCTGAAGTAGTTACAGTAGTTGTAACTTACTGAAGGGTGTGCTGACAGCTGCTGAGATTTCTGCAGCCAGGAAGTCTTTAATCCTTAATAAATTGTTTCTTCCTCTTTGGCTTACTTATGAGGCATACTCCCCGAAGAATCTGCAGAGACAGTGTAAGCTCAAGACTTAAGTATGCTGAAAAAGTATATAGATGCAGAAGGAAGAGATGGGATTGCAGAGCTGCTCCATCTGCTCTGTTGAGAGACCAGCTGCGTTTGGCTCATTCCCTTCTCTGTTACTCAACTTACTTTAGCGCTCTTTTAAGCATCTCAAGTGACCTTGGAGATTTCTTAGTTGACACAAAAAATCCAGACTTACATTATCTTTCCAGGATTTTTATTAATACACAGTTCAACAATCCCATATCAATATTACCCCCACTCACTTCTCTGAAGGCCCTTCCAGCTTGCAGAACAGCATTATGCATCCCTTGAAAAACTGACTGAAGACTGCCTCTGTCTGGTTCATTATTTCAGTGGCCAGGGATGAATGGGGGTTTGGGCTTCATGCTCCTTCTACTCCCCACCTTGGTAACCTGAGTTTGAAAACAGGATAAAGATGTCTGAGAAATTGCTTGCTGGAATCATTGAGACACTGAAAATTCAATGAGACAAGCATTGGGAGTTGGGGATTAAAAGGTACATATACTATGAAGGGAGAAATCCCTGGATCTTTGTCTTACCTGTACCATGTGAAATAGAGATAACTCTCCACTTCTTTTTGGTAAGATAACAACCAAATCAATTCTGGGGGAAATTGGCATCCAGTGCGATTTGTCCTTTTCAATTCTGTATATGAGAAGCCAGAACGGTCTTCTGTCAAAATTGATAAGTGGAAATACAGTGGGGAATGCAATTTTATTTTGTTAAATGCACAACTGCCAGCAGCTCCAGCTTGTTTACATTGAGGTTGTCTTGCTCCATAGCTTTTCTATTTCCATCCAAATAGCCGCAGATGCATTGCTGATGTGAAATCTGCATATCATAACACTCTGGGAATGTTGGAGAGGGAAAGGAGGACTATTACGTTAAGTTGTTTTCACAAGTGAAGAATTTCAGTGGCTTTAAAAGAGAAATCTTGAACTTTGCCAATTCTCTGTAGACGTTTTGGCACGATAGGCTGTAAATTCTGCAAACTAGAAAAGCTCAAGGGGTAACTGGAATGGATGCTGATAAAATCCTAAGATGTTCATTACCTCCCACAATGAAAATGTCTAAGGAATAGGAGTTCAGTGCTGCTTTTAGAAAGGAGTGGAGGTCAGTGTTCATAAACTTAACTAAACATATAAGAAATTTGGAAATATAAACATGATTCTTGATTAAAGAAAGAAATGGAACCTTGGCATAACTCTGTATAAATTCTAAAGTTGGTTTCTTGCATTTGCATCAGTATAGTAATGCTTCATGCATATACTGTGGCAGAATCACAATATGTAGCTTTTGAAACATTTCCAAAAAAATGCTTTATCCCTGCTGCCCCCCAATAAAATTGTCTTGCCTGGGAATAATCCCCATTGGACTCAATGGGACTTATAGCACATTCCTATGCATGTCTATTACGAAATAAGAGCCACTTCATGTTACTGTTTTCAGTGTCTAGATCTTCTCCAACCTGATGCCCTTCAGATGTGGTTGCCACCAATTGCCATCAGCCCAACCAGCACGACCTACAGTTAGGGATAATGGCTGTTGTAGTTGGGAACATCTGGAGGGTACCAGGTTGGGGGGGGGATGGATACAGATTGTCATTTGTTATGAAATACATATATTTAGTACTATATGAAGAGTGACATGAGTAACTTTTGCAGGTAGCCTGATTAGATAGCCATTGCTTGTATTAGCTAATGCTGCATATAACTGTGGTAGGAAATCCATTTGTACCACTTCAAACTCTTACAAATTGTGGTAGTAGCAACAGTAATAGTGGTGCTACAATTCTTGCCCCAGCAACCTAGTTAGTTTGAAGGCAGAGAGGTGTTTCTTCCCCCAACAGGTCCCCCCCCCCAGTCTTCTGCTGTAGCCATCTGTTATGTTTATGTTTCCTAACTATTAATACATAAAGGAAATTGACTTGGTGCTTTAGTAGAGACAGTAGTTCTGAAAGGATAGGGTAGTTTGTTGTGACAATACTTTCTTGGGCGTCTTGCAGTCTCAAACTCCATGTATTATACATAATGGCATTGACATGTGTGGGCCTTCCATTTGCCATAGGGAAGAATATTTATGAAAACAAGAGACATCCCGTGTCTGCTAATTGACTGAAATGAATATTTTAGTTTACTGCAAATACAGTGGGGCTGAATTTAATGCATTTCATATGCACAGAATAGAGATGGGCAGCCATGGTGGAACTGAAGAGATAGGATTCAGCATTGCTGCATGTATATTCCTTGATCTACACAAGCGAAGAAGGTGAAGGAAAGAAAGCATGAACTTTTGCACCGTGTGCGGAATTCAGCATCAATGCTAGTGTTCTTTTCTTACAAGCAAGATTCTAGCTTTTGTGACTGTGGGAAAATAGGTGTAAAAATGTGTGAGTCGTGTCCATTGACATCTCATAAGTTAGCAAATGAACAACTCTAAGAAGCAGAGGTCATAAAGATATTCCCCACAAAATATACTCTAAAGATTTAGCTCTGATAAGGGCAAGACAAAAATAATGCAGATGTTCTTTCGTCTCCATTTCTTAGAAGCACAAGCAAAGCTCATTATTGGTTTTCGGTTAACATCCTTCCAATACACTAATGGGTGTTTTCCGGTATTTATTTATTACCTACATATTTCCGGGTATTTTCAGTCTAAGCAGAGTCTATATCAAGCCACATAAATAGTTCTCCATATGTCTATCCTTACTTTGTTTGAAACATAGAACAAAAGGACTAAATTAGTGTGGCGAATCCTGTTCCCATGCCAAGTCCCAATCAGAAAATTAAGGTAATAAGTCAATTGAGAGTGGTTCAGTTTTAAAATACGGATATGTGTGTGTTGGTTTGTTTTTTCCAACCAAGGAAAACTCTGCAATAATTTTATAACTAGTGATTTGCTCTTTGTGTGAAAATTATGACTTTTAACATATATACGTTCACATACAGGTTAAAGATTCCTATAGTGGCTCTCTAGCAAACTTTTGCAGAATCCCAAACAATTGCACTTAAACCTTTTTTCTTTCAAGGAGTTAATCTTTTCTTTCTTCCTTCCAGGGAGTAAGTCAAAGAAAAGTTTTAACACAGTGGGTGACATTTACAACCTACTCTTCTATCACCTGAAGAAATTGCAGTATTAACCTAGTTGCTGGAGGGAATAACGACTTTTAACCTGGTAATGGAAGGTTGTATTCCCCAGCCCACTATTCCATCACCCTGGAGGATGAGCAATTTAACCTCTTCTCCTATCCTTTGAGAGTATAACCTCTTCTGCTGAACGCACTTTTCCAACTCAGAAGGAAAAGATGACCTTTACCTAGTTTCTCATCCTTCACAGTATGAGTCATTGTCATTTAATTAATTGTTCTAAAAGGTCATTTCTGTGGCAAAATACTGAGAACATTATATTCATGGAACTACGTTTATAAATGCAGAAAGTCATATTCTTGAACCCAACCCTAGAAAAGATGAGGACCAATGTTGTTTTTTGAATAGTGTGCTGGTAAAGGAACAACAACGGGATGTGGGTGGCGCTGTGGTATCTTGGGCTTGTTGATCGGAAGGTCGGCAGGTTTGAATCCCCATGATGGGGTGAGCTCCCGTTGCTCGGTCCCAGCTCCTGCCTACCTAGCAGTTCGAAAGCATGTCAAAGTAGATAAATAGGTACCGCTCCAGCGTGAAGGTAAACGGCGTTTCCATGAGCTGCTCTGGTTTCGTGGCTTAGTCATGCTAGCCACATGACCCGGAAAAACTGTCTGTGGACAAACGTCAGCTCCCTCGGCCAGTAAAGTGAGATGAGCGCTGCAACCACAGAGCCGTTCGCAACTGGACTTAACTGTCAAGGATCCTTTCCCTTTTTAAAGGAACAACATCAGGCACATCCCTGCCTAGCTGTAATGTGGGGGGGAAGCCACTATAATTTATCTTAACCTACCTTGTTTTGTTTATGTGAAGATACAATAGAATAACTCCATGTATGGCATTCTGACCTCTGAACTCCAGGGAGGAAGAGTGGGCTATAGCTAGTATTTGAAGGAGGAGGAGGAGGAGGAGGAGGAGGAGGTTAAATAGCAAACACATCGAAGCACAGGAGTGTGGGGTGTGTTTTCTGAGAAAAGGTGGTAGTGTGCTGTATTTTTATTTGCACATCTTCCCATCTGTGAAAGACACTATTCACATACAGTGGTGCCTTGCTTCTCAAACTTAATCCGCTCTGGAAGTCCATTCCAAAACCAAAGCATTCCAAAACCAAGGCACACTTTCCCATAGAAAGTAGTGCAAAATGGATTAACTCATTCCAGACTTTTAAAAACAACTCCTAAAACAGCAATTTAACATGAATTTTACTATCTAACGAGACCATTGTTCCATAAAATGAAAGCAGTAAACAATGCACTGCAGTCACAAAATCAAGCAATCAATAGCTGAACTGGGTTCCACACAGTCACAAAAAAGAGCTGCAAAAACAAAAACGCAAAATAAACAGCAAAAACAGACAGACCTCAGCATAACACTTAAAATGGAAGTGTGGCATTCAGATTGAAAGCGTAACACTCAAAACGGAGCACGTTCAGCTTCCAAAAAAAGTTCATAAACCAGAACACTTACTTCCAGGTTTGCAGTGCTTGGGTTCCAAGTTGTTTGAGTACCAAGGCGTTTGAGAACCAAGGTACCACTGTACACTTTTACATACTTACACCCACATATAAACAATTGCAAAAAACAAGCAAACTACCAAGTGTTCAGAGTAGACAATGCATTGGAAGGAAAAAGTAGGTGAGCTATGAAACATATTGGATAGTTTCTTACTTTTGTGATACCTAAATCATTCTATGAACTGAATTGGCTCTCCCCTTTCCCTCACCCCCTGCCCCACAAAAAGCTGCCACCTGGCCTGCGAGGGCAGGGCCCTGACTGACTCCAGCTGCAAAACCCGATGCTGCTGAACAGTCTCTTGAGCTGGGGTGTTTTGCTTCAGGGAGGGTTGTTTCTTTTGTGGGTTTTTTGGTATCTTTATTTTAGATCTTGTGGTCATATATGTGGAACTTGTTCAGTTTGATTGTGTATTTTTAATGTTTTATTTCTTGTTTATGACTACTTTTGTTATATTGTAATTATGTATTTCTTTCATGGTGTAGGTTGCCTTGAGCATGGTTTAAACAGTGAAAAGGCAGCATACAAATAAAATTGTGTGTGTATGTGTAAAGGAATGTCTTGTAATGAATTGTCTGACAGTATCTCTGTTGAGACACTCATACACGTAGGCTTTCTGTAGGGTAACCTTCATCCACATTTAGACTACAGCTTCCATCAAGTTATGTTGGTTGATGGTGAAGGGCATTGTAAGCCAACCTCAGGGAGGCACAAAGTTGGTGTAGGATGTCGTGAGGGGTCAACTTGCCTACCTTAAGTTCAAGACACTGGTGCAGTCAGGCATCAAATTTAGGGGAAGGCTGGTTGTTTGGTGGCAGAGCATATGATTTGCATGCAGAAGGTTCAATCTCTGGCATCTCCTGGTGGGGCTGGGAATGTCCCTTGCCTGAAACCCTAGAGAACAGTTACAAGTCAGTGCAGGATGGACCAATGGTCTGGCTCAGTATAAGGCAACTTCCTACATTCCTAGTTTACATTCGGTTATAGGTATCTTCTAACTTCATGTTCATTAAGTGTGTTAAATGTTTTTGTGAATAATTTAATAGCTAAGGAACTCTAATATCTTGTAACTTCAGGGACAAACCTACCACATGAAATGAATTAAGTTGCCAATTATTATTTATTATTTATATTGGACCTAAGAATAGACTGTGTTCTTTATGTGATTTGGCAGGTAACTCTGATTCTGGCTTATGGTTTATGTGGCTGATGGAAGGCTGACAATCATATGAGATTGACTGATTGATGGATGAATACTTTGTCTTTCCCCTGACCCATAAATCAATAGTTGGCTTGACAGAAGTAAAATGACTGTGTGATATATTGTCAGCCTCTCGTTCTTGATTTTGGCACCCCTGAAGGCATGCCAAATTTTGCTTAATGGCTTCCCACTTTAGTTTATTTGGGGAAAGAGTGCTTTTACTGTGAAAATTGGAGCAGGGCAATACTAAATGAAAATAGCTTTCACTACTACCAGAAGTATTCGATCTTGAATCAAGTAATTGGGGTAAGGTGACTGGAAGACTTTGTATGCCCTTATAGAGCAATGTAAAGTATTGTATCTGCAACAGACTTTAGTCTCAAAATAAGCACCTCACTGTGCTACGTTTTTTATTTTTTGTGCAGGAAGTTGAACTTTGTCGTGTTAGCAGCCAGGAAAAGCTGGGCTTGACTGTCTGCTACCGCACGGATGACGAGGAAGACACAGGAATTTATATCAGTGAGGTAAAGTTCTGTGAGGGGGGTGGTAAAGGGGAAGTAGAATAAGCATTTCTGTAGCCTGACTACCAGAATTCTGTCAATTTTCCAATGCAAACTGTTAGCAAACTGCCTAAATTATGCCGCCCAAGTAATATAATTGTCATTGCAGGCAAGTTTGTTTAACGTAAATGTGTCAAATGCAACATTACCATGAAGCGAATTGCCTGAAAAGTCAGAATGTTGCTTAAAAAGTTAGGTGAAACATTGTCTTAGTACTGTTAACTGGACTCTTTGAGAGAACCTGCAGCTCCTTGACATCTTTTCCTGCCTGCCTCCCACTTGCCCCTTCATTCCAGAGTTTATTCCCTCGGCCTTCTGACTTGCCTGGTGATCCTTTTCTTACTCCTTGAAGTTTATAGGATTTATTCCCTTTAATCTCACTCCAGAACCAGAGTAGCTGTGATTACTGGGAAGAGACTGGCTCCATTCCACAAATTAAAACAATAATTCTGCTACATGCCATACTTACAGAGTTTACAAGATTCACCAAACTTCTGCTTGCTTGCTTGCTTGCTTGCTTGCTTGCTTTTCTGGTCCATACCATTTGCATGAACTACCCCTATACAAAATTGTTGACTCTGTCCACTGGTGCCATTCCAATCAATATTTTTTTTTATTGCACTGCAATAAAATTGCCTTGCCATATGCATTCTTTTTATGCTTCCTCTGTGTCTCTAACTTCTACATTCATGCTGTCTTGGAGCATTTCCTGTTTATTTGCTGCCTTTCAGCATCCTTCCTGAAGTACTTACTCAAGTGCATACCTTAGTTAACAAGGACTCTCTGTCTCTTATCTCATTAGAGTTATTTAGAACCATTGGAGGATTTGGGGGGGGGGACATTCATTTTAGTCAGAAGTTGTATTTCTCCTGTCACCCAGAAGCCTATGGACAATGATTGGACACATCACCAAGTAGTTCAGAACTGCAGAACATCAGAGAGCTCCAAGAAATGTGCTTCAATGAAATCTAGGACTTTTTTTTCCAAGGACCAGATCTCCCCTCCCAGGCACTGCCCCTTCCCCTTTCCCAAGGAGTAGAAAGTACTGTTTTGAAGTTAGATCTGTAATCTATATCTGGTGAAAATATTTGGTCCGAAGGCATATTCAGTTCATATGCTGAAACCATGAGGGTTTGGTCCTGACAAGGGTCAAGATTGCTACCTGTAGAATGTATGCAGACTGCTTGGAGATCCCCGGAGGAAGAGTGATGTATAAATATAACAAATAAAAATATAAAATATTTACAAATGCAGCCTAGCTGCTGGACAGTGCTTTTATAGCATTATTTACTCCCATTTTTAGCTTGTTTCCTAAAATTGGTGTACAGACCTATCCGTCCCTAGGCCTTTAGTACTGATAGTATTAAAAACTTCTGGTTGTTTTTGAAGCCCATAAAGATCCCATCATACTTCAGCAGCTGAGGTCAGTTAGGTAACAGAGAAGCCTACAGTATAGGTTTCTTACTAGTTTGCAAAGATTTAAAAGAGATCTGCTGGTTTTATCTGTCTTTGAATTTTAAAAAGTGCTCTCCTTAGCTCTGTTTTGAACCGTTCTGCCTTTCCCTTCATTTGAGTGGCTGCAATTGCTCTCTTTTCATACCAGATTAAATATTTCCACAACATTTTCTCTCCAACAACACACAATATGAAAATAAGACCTGCTTGGGAGGGGGAGGTATTGTCATCTTTATAAGATGTAACTTGCAAGCCGAGTGCTTAGGGAGGCTTTGCTGCAAAAAGTAATGGCAAGGAAAAATAAATGGCTTCAGATATCCATCAAGGAAAGGGTGGCCATTAGTCAAGGAACAGTTTTGCGACTCTGATAAACCTTTAATGGAGCCTTCAAGATATATTTAGGTTAAAGCAAAATTTAACTACGTAAACCAACCATTTAGTATATTGTATCAGTGTTGAAGAAAGGTAAATCATATATTGTAATGGCTTTTCTTCTTCTTATTTTTGTTTGTGATATAAGGACACAGAAGTCTAGCTTGATAGGTAAAGATGCCATGCAAAACATTTTATAAAGGGTATGAACTTTTTAACACATACAGTCTCTCCTGAGCATTATCAAGCTCCAACTCCTCTCATTTCCCCACATCTAGGGTTCCGTTAATGGTGATTTGGTTTACTTGTCAATCCCCTTCCTTTCCCTGAGTTATCTGGCATACTGAGAGGGCTTGGGAGAGACGCAGGGTCATCTTTCTTTTGTGTGGCATATGGAGTAGGTAAGAGGCCCTGGGAGTCTCTCCTGTTTCTTACCTGCTTGAACACTGCAGTGGAAAGGAGACTTCCTGTTGCCTGGCATCCTGTGCTGGGTGCAATCGTCCCTGGCAAACTGGCAAGGGTTTTCTGGTGCCTTCCCATATCCATGAATTCTGAAATTTATACCTTGGCTTTACAAGAGCTGAAAAGAAATTCTTGGTTGCCCCTTTCCCAAAGAAGTACTAATCTGAAAAAACCTACACACCGCCCCTTAAACATACGTTAAATGAAAACTTATTTTAGAACTAACTATGGCATTTCCACCTCATGTAGGTTGATCCAAACAGTATCGCTGCCCGAGATGGACGGATCCGGGAAGGAGATAGAATTTTGCAAGTAAGTAACTATGAGCATGCTTTCTCACTACGGTTCTTCAAAAATGTACAGTCCATTGTTTCTGTAGAATATTAGGCAGGCAAATTCTTGTTAAAGTACGTACACCCAAATATGTGATTTTAGTATTTGTTTTATGACGGCTGGTTTTATCTTTTTCTGTTTTTTTTGAAAATGTTATGTCTTCTTGTTTTCAAACATTTATTTTATTGCTATTTGCTTATGCATATTTTACATTGTTTTATGTTAACTGCTTATAGGATTTGTTATTGATTAATGCAGTCTATAAATATTGTATCACACCACCCCAATCTTCATGAGCGGTGCAAGATTCCAGGGGGTTCCAGGCACTCCCCTGGGGCTGTTTCTCTGTTGGGAAGATTGGGGCGCTGTGGAGGATAGCACCTTTAAGAAATATGGTTCATTAACACATATTTACACCTGGAAGTTTGCAGTGGAGGGGGTACAGGACATTATACCCCAATAGTGTCTCTCATTGCCCCTCTCGTCAGTCCGTCATGGCTCCGGGTCTTGTGGTACAGTCTCCTCCTCCAATATGGTTCTGACCTCCAGTCCCCACATGGAGTTCTGGCTTGCCCAGGAGCTCCTAGAGGACTAGACTTTGTCCTCGTCCTTCTTCCCAGCACACCTCTCAACAAAAATCCAGGCCTACTGTAAAATGACACTTTCCCCTGTCACCTCACACCCCTCCATGTCACCTTGGCAACCCCTGTTTTTCACAGATCTGAGACCCTTCCTATGATGTGATAATGACCAGCAATCAGCACCTTTGTCTCTTAATGGCTTTGCTCTTAACTACCCTGGTCAGACATGTTTGCAGAAGCCAGCCCAGGGATTCCTTCCCTGGCTGGCGCACTTCTGCAACTTGTGTTTTCCATTCATATCCCTAATATTAGCTAGATTCTGGCATTCATTAATTTCTTGAGTTTAGGAGGGGTTTCTTCCCCCCCCCCCCAAAAAAAAGTATAACAATATAAATAGAATGGCAGTGGAAGCCATTCTATTCATTTTTAGCTGCCATCTCCTGGAGGTAACATCATCAGCACATGATGGCTGAGGAAGCCACAGCACTGGGTCTGGGGCTAATGGATGCTCAGAGAAGGGAGCATACAATGGAGAGAAGTGCTTCAGAGGAGGGAGGAGAAGGAAGGAAGAGTCAGGCATGGTGGACTCATATTGCCAGGGCTTTCTGAGTAAAAAATACGATTTTAATAGAAACTATGGAGGCCCAGGAAAAGCCTGGAAGAGCTCCTACCATACTCTACAGAACAGAAACTTAAGGCCACATTTCTTCCCAGCGAGCCTTTTTCAAATCCAGTGGAAATTCTGAAGAAAATGCCCAGCATGGCATTGCTGTGTTCAGCCAATGCATAACAACATTAGAAGATGGAAAGTAGATAGGGGTGGGACCTATAATGCATGTTAGTGGCAGCATTTGTTGTCAAAAAAAATATGAAATCAAGCATCCCTTCCCTAGTAACCTAAGACTTTCCATTCCTGTCCATGGCCGCTGCTTCCCCAGCACGGGGACTGAAGCAAGCTCACACGTGCATGAACCAATTATCCCTTTTATGCAATTTGTGCAGTTTTCCTTTTGTTGTCCGGTGATACTTGTTGATAGTAGCAGGTTGCTTCTGTACAAACAACCCTGCAACTGCTAGGCATTAATTCAGCCTTCCTGAGAGCCTGCTGGATGTTACAAGATCAATCTGATTCTATCCCACCAGGTCTTTCATTTCCTCAGGAAACATCTTTGCTGGGAAACATAGCTTTACTTCTTACTCTGCTATCAGTTCTGAGAATCAAACAAATCTCTGGAACACAATAGGATCTACAAGCTGCCTGGCTAAGACGGTCCTTGCTTTGCAGGCATATAATAAGTCGTGTTTCAGTGTGAGGGCTTCTGCAAGGATATATTATTTTATTTCTTCGTATATTGGGGGATATGATTTTTTATTTTCTTTTTCTTTTTTGCAGTGCACACATCATATGATGGGGGGAAGGGAGGGAATTCTCATATTGCATTACCTTACTTTGACTAGATGTTGGACTGATATGAATTTGCAGAGAGGGACTAAAAAGTAATGAGCCATGTAACAGATCTGAACACTGAACCGTTTTTTGAAAATGATAAAAAAAGAACAAAATTTGATGTTATGGGCATTTTTAGTTCTGTGTACACTGTGATAAAAGCAAAAACACCTGATGCTTAGGTAGCCCATTTCTGCTCCAGTCAAAGGCAGGTTGTTCTGGTTCAAGAAAATATTAATTATTTATATTTTAAACCATTTCTGAACTGCTTAGTATTTGAAAAACTTGCTAAGTGGTATACAAAAATATATGCAAATTTAAATCATAGCGGACCCTACTTAGCTTTGCCAATATGTTAGCAGTTCTAAGAATTCTCCACAGTGCCCCATGAGAAGCTGATAGACAGAAGCCATGTTCAATAGATTGCATATACTAAATAAAATTGGACCATGTCATATAAAACATTTCTTATTTCGGTTCAGTGTTCTCTTTGCAATGTTGTTAACTAATCCATAAGAATTATGTCCAATATTTGTGATACCCATGATATAAAATTGCAGATGACACCAGACTAGGAGGGATAGCTAATGCCGCAGAAGATAGAATTGGGATTTAAGATAGCATAGTGTCCCAATCAAGGGAAGTAACAGTACCACTCTATTCTGCCTTGGTCAGACCACACCTAGAGTACTACAATTTAAGGATGATACTGACAGGCTGGAACATGTGCAGAGGAAGGCAACCATGATGATAAAGGGTCTGGAAAGCAAGCCTTATGAGGAACGGTTGAGAGAACTGGGTATGTTTAGCCTGGAAAAGAGGAGAATGAGAGGAGATATGACAGTCATCTTCAAATATCTAAAGGGCTGTCACATGGAAGATGGAACAAGCTTGTTTTCTTCTCTGGAGAGTAGGATCTGAACCAATGGGTTCAAGTTGCAGGAAATGATATTCTGACTAAACATGTTTAATAGGTTATTGAATTTTAGTGTTTTGTTGGAAGCCGCCCAGAGTGATTGGGGAAACCCAGCCAGATGGGTGGGGTATAAATAAATAAATTATTATTATTATTATTATTATTATTAAGAACTTTCTGACAGTAAGGGTTGTTTGACAGTGGAACAGATTCCCTGGGAAGGTAGTGGATTCTCCTTCCTTGGAGGTTTTTAAGCAGAGGTTGGATGACAATCTGTCACGGATGCTTTAGTTGAGATTCCTGCATTGCAGAGGGTGGACTAGATAACCCTTGGGGAGCTCTTCCAACTCTACTGTTCTCTGGTTCTATGCTTCTATGTGTGTGGCAATGTGATATATGAGTTGGAATCTGATCATTAAGTTTAACAGAAAATGAGTTGTGGTTAGGATTCTCCTTTCATATTGGGCAATGTGCTGGCTCAGTACCCATTCTTATGGATGAGATAACTCAGAGCAAGGGAATCTGACAATTTTATTATACTAGGTTTATGTGAAAAGAATTATTTTAAAAGGCAGCATTCTGCAGGCCAAATTCTCAGGATGCTGAACTGCTTCCTTGTGTTTGTCTAATTTTCCAAATACAGCGGTACTTCGGGTTAAATACTTAATTCGTTCTGGAGGTCCGTTCTTAACCTGAAACTGTTCTTAACCTGAAGCACCACTTTAGCTAATGGGGCCTCCCGCTGCCACCGCACTGCTGGAGCACGACTTCTGTTCTCATCCTGAAGCAAAGTTCTTAACCCGAGGTACTATTCCTGGGTTAGCGGAGTCTGTAACCTGAAGCATATGTAACCTGAGGTACCACTGTAAACTGCCATTACTATTCACTTATGCAGCCATTCCAACATGATGAAATATATAGTTGTTGGATTTTTACATAGTTATTTCACAGGATTATGGCTGTAGTACACAACCCGTTGTAGTCATGGGCGCTTCCAAAACGTCCTCGAGGAATGGCTATTCACTAGTAGAGCATCTGCTTTGCATGCAGAACGTCCCATGGTCCGTCCTTGGCATCTTTATGGACGGCTTGGAGATAACCCTGCCTGACCCCCTGGAGAGCTACTGACAGTCAGTGCAGACAATATTGAGCTGACAATAGTGACACAAAGTCTGCCGCAGTAGAAGGCAGCCTCCTACATCTGCCATCTGAATTTCTCTTTGGATACCGGAGTTCCAAATTATGTGGCCTTGTGTCAAAGGAGGACTTACATACTTGGGATTTGCCATTGTTCCATTTTTGTTTTCCAACTTTTTAATTATGCAGTGCATGTGGGGGTTTCAGTTCCTCCCAGGCACAGTGTCGGTAGGGCCCACTTCCGTTGGAGTCCTTTGATGATGCCTGAAACTGCTGCCCTGCTACTCTCCTGCATGCTCAGTTACAGAATTTCCTAGCTCTGGCCAGCAGCCAAGTGAAGCTGCTCAGTTCACGGTCCATTACAGCACCATCACTGCTTTGAGGGATGGGCAAGGCTGCAAGATACAACAGAAGAGGGACCAAGGAACTGTAGCGGAGATTGTTTGGCACTTACAGTGGCCCATTGGTGGCAAACTGCCCATGATGCCTTTCCCTTCCTTCCCCACAAAAAAGAATCTGGAGCCAGGCCTTCCTCCTCCAGTTCATTTGTGCCCTCTTGCTCATCCTTGTTGCTGATAAGTTCACAGTAGAAAAACACTGCAAGAAAGCAAACTTAATGTCATTGTTAGAGTGTGCTTTCTGCCTAGGGGCTTCTTGTGCAGCGTTCCTCCAAAATGCACCATGTGCATTTCTGTTTGTTGATGAAATGCCACACCAAGGTAGTCTTACTCATGCAGTCTTATGCACAATTGCATCAAGATTCCATTTTTGCAGTATTTTCTGAATGCAGGCATTGGCAACGGGCAGGAGAAAAGAGGCAAATGAACCGAGATAACTGAAAGCTGCAGCAAGCATCACATTTTATTTTAAACATCACAAATTATTTTAAACATTTTCATGATTATACTGGAATTCAGGAAGTATGGCAGGCAAGTCATAGCTAATCCGTAGGAGAGAAAAAATGAAAGCATAAAAGAGCCCCTCTCCTCCATAGCTAGTCAGCAGGTGGGGGGAAGAGCCCTGTTTATTTATTAATTCACTCGCTCGTTTATGCATTCCATTTATTAATCACCTTATTAAAATATCCCCTAGCCAATATGCAATAGATATAAAACAAAATTTAAAACTGTTTCTAAAACATTTTTCATAGATTTTGGTTGCAACCATAAAGTGAAAATGTTGAGGTCCCTTTCGAGATACTTTAACTCCTTTGAATCCATACACAATTTAAGGAAGTTGCAGTAAATATATTTTCCGTATTTTTCCATGTATAAGACTATGGGTTTTTTACCCAAAAAAATAGGTTTAAAATTGGGGCTCGTCTTATATACGGGTAGTGCTGAGGGGTGTTTTCTTAATTTTGAGTCCCCAAAAATAGGGGGCGTCTTATACATGGGGGCATCTTATACATGGAAAAATACGATATATTTTAAAGCATTCATACAATAAATTTATGAGTTATTAAAAGGCAATTAGCTTCTTAATTTCATACGCTGCTGATTTGTTCTTCAGTTTCTCTGAACTGAACAGAAGATTGTAATGCTGACTTGAGAGTTCATGTACACAGGTGACTTCATATACAAACACCTGGAGGTTTGAGATGAGATATATATTTTGGCCAAAATTATTCTTACAACCAGCCACTTTATGTTTGATGCGTTAATGCAGGTCAGGGGTAGTTGGCATGTTGCCTTCCATATGTTGTTGGATTCCAACTTCTGTCAGCCCCAGTCAGTTTGTCCAGTGGTCAGGGAAGATGGGGGTTGCAGGCCAAGAACAACTGGAGAGCCCTACATTGGCACCTCCCAATTAATCCAAAATTAAATTTGCAAATTTCAGTTTCAGATGTCCTAAATGTTTCATGTATTTATTTATTTTTCTCCCCGCCATGACTGTAACTCTGTTCAGGCATTCTTTCCCCCTCCATAATCACCACTGCACATCTGGAAGCAAAGTGGCATGTTCCCTAGCTCTACTCTTTTAAGTGTGTGTCACTGTTGCCTCTGCGCATTGGATGACTGTGGGAAAAGCAGTAGTGGTGGAGGGGGACTATACCCACCCGCCCCCATCACATGATTATGTGAGGGAATACACCTTGAAAAGGCTCATGAAAAAAGCAAATGGAAAGATAAGATATGGGGAAAGGTTGGCTGCGCTGCATAAAGATACTGCAATTTTCTCTGCTAATGCTCACATAAGAAGAACGGTTTAAATTTCAAAGATGAGCAATTTTGTATGTTGTTCATCTGGTCCCTGGATTTGCTGCCAAACCCATTAAGAAATAGTTAACACAGGCTACTGTTTGGCATTATCACAAAGTTGTGCTTGGAAAGTTAAAAAGCAACAACTGAAGATTCACTTTTAAGTGTGCACAGCATACATGATTGCTCAGAAGTCCCAATGTGTTCAACAGGGTTTTCTCCTGAGTAAGGGTGTATGGGATTTGCAGCCTCTAGTATGAATTTTGGCACCCAGTGTGTGTGTGTCTGTCCATGTGTGTTCGGGCGCACGCACAAATATCAAATGATTAAATGAAACAGCAATCAGCAGTGGCCTGTAAGTATTGCCTGGTGAGAGATAATGCTGTAGACCTCTAATTGGCTCTCTCTAAGCTTCCAGTATGACTGATTTCAGCTGTAGTATTACCAGTCTTGCTTCCACCAGCACTATTATCTCAGACTGACACTTCCATTACTCTGAACAGAGAAAGATGAACGTCACCTGTCAAGGGCTGGTTAATTGTGTTGCTAGATGTATGTTGCCAGGGCGCAGGTTGGACATTTATGAACATAACTGCTTCCTCTGATGTCCGCCATCCTTCAACGATCGATATGGCTCTTACAGTAAGCGCATAATTGAGTGAAGGCACTTACCACTGAGGGGGCTGAAGATGAGCCCATTGTGTGAGCTTCATTGTCCATACATTTGCCACAAATGAGCTGATATTTGCTCTATATTGTGTGTTGCGCTGTGGAAATGGAAACTAATGTGCCACTTTCATTTGTTTTATAGATAAATGGCCAAGATGTCCAGAACCGGGAGGAGGCAGTGGCATTGCTCTCCAGCGACGAATGCAAGAAAATTGTGCTGCTGGTAGCAAGACCAGAGATGCAGGTTAGAGTAAATAGATGCATTGAGAATGAGGGTGGTTCGCAGGGCACATACATTCACTGCCATCCGCAGATAATGAACAGCTGGCGGGGAAATGACAACGCAGAAGTTCCTGTCAGAATGGAGAAAATGAGAATAGATGGTCTTTACTGTTTTGTAGTTGCAGATGCAAAGTTAAAGGGAGCTTGAATACCACTGTACTAGCTGAATGAGTCTTTAAAATCATACGTACCTATAAGAATGCAGCTGATTGTCTAGTAGAATACACAACCAAACACAAAGAAATATTGAAATTGCCCATATGTAGCAGAAAATGCATGTTGATTTCTCATATGATATAAGTTGGTCTGAAATTCCAATATGGGCTGCTTTTCTGATTTCCATGTCATATTTCCAGAATATTTATAAGTACAAGGAAGTTTCACCGCACCGCAAACCAAGTATTAAACTGTACACTGGAATTACAATATCATGTTCATACACAGTTTAGAACGAATCGTATTTTTGAAGGTCTGTAGCAAATATGAATAACCATCATTCATTGACGGAAAACGGTTTTTCTGCTTTGTGAAAATGTTTCCATATTTTGGAAGGCAGAGTTAGTATGCAGATTCCTAAAAGGAGGAGAGAGAATAGTGGAAGAAAAACACCTAGTTGTACTTCCTTTTATATCCTGCTACAAAGCAAAAAGGACGTTCTGTTGCCCCTATTGTATCCATCTGTCTTTGGTTCAGGCAAAGTTGGTTATATTGCCACTTGTTTCTTGTGTTATTGATCTGATATTTTTCAGCACTGGTAACCGCACAATCTCTATAAATTACATTGAATAAATGTAATTCAGTGTCACCTGAAAGCCTTCCTTTGACTAGTGTAGTTATAGAGGATCACAGTTCGAAGCATATATTTCCTTTATAGTCTTATACATTCTAAATGGTGCTGATAAAAGCAGCTGTATAGTATGGCAGAGGAAAGCAATTCACATCAGGTTTATGTAGCTTGGCTGTGGCTCTTGTAGGCTTAGATAACTTTCTGAAACTATAAATGGCTTGCTGAAACATTCTGCTTATAGGCTCTTAAGGGGTTTTATATCAGTGATGCATCTGTCTTTCGGGATTCAGTTGTACAACAAACAATGACTACCTGGGGCCTAGCATTAGTCTCTTCTTGCCTCTCTTGTGTGGATAAAACGGTCAAGGGAAAAGAAAAGATGTTATCCTAATTTGCAAAGCATATCTGGAAGGCATTGGTTTCCAAGCTTCTTGGTTAGGCACAGAAATTATCAAGGCACAGAAGTGACCGAGAAAGTACAGCAATGACACATCCAGACATAGTGTTTTATGGATATACAATTTACAGTCAAGTACAAATCACCCATTTCAGCCCTTGCTTATTGCTAGCAAAATTTGCATGGCCATCATGGTTGTGGTTGATACAAAATAACGGTTGTGGTTGATACAAAATAACAAAAGTAGCTCTAAATTCCCGCAATGGGACTGCACATCCTGTTACAGTTACTGTTTCAACCATGCTAATTCTGCCAGGAATGGGATCTAGAAGCACTTTTGATGTGGTGTAATGGTTAGAGTATTGGACTAGGGCTGGGGAGACCCATGTTTAAATCCCAATTCAGCCATGAAGTTCTCTGGGTGGTCTTAGACCATCCTCTCAGTGTAGCTTAAGTGTGTATAGAACTACACCCTAAATTAAGCATGTGACTAAGTACTTGCATTGTACTTGCATTGTCTGAAGTCAAACACTGACTTAGGCTGCAATCCTATGCACACATACCTGGGAGTAAGTCCCACAAAACTCGGTGGAGCTTACATTTGAGTAGACATTCATAGGATAGTGCTGTTAAAAAGCTAACCTCAGAATATAAGCACTGTAAATATATACATGTATATAATCCTTATAAAATATTGCTGTTTTGAATTTCTATATTTGCCTGTGAGCTCAGATTTGTAGGTAATTAGTAATTACAATCTTTGACATAGAAACAATGTTCTAGATCGATGTTTTGAAGGAGGGCCATCTTTGAGAGTATCCTTTCTTTTCTTTTTTTTGCAGTATTGTAAATTTTCATTTTCTCATACATGTATTTTAGCAAAGAAAAACCCCCACCAATCTTTATATAATAATCATTAAGATATTCTTGCCTAATCTAAGACAAGAGTATTATGAGTAAGTCAGCTACATATTTTCCTATTATTCTTCCCAAGCTATCATTCACCATTCAGTGACAATACAATGAAAGTTATGGGTATAGAGGGTTAGACGTAGAGATAGGAAATTGCCCTATTCTGATTATGTTCATCTGAACTAACGATTAAAAAAACAGGAAATGTGTCCCATGTCTCTACATGCTTTAGGTTTTCTTTCAGTAAAATAAAAAAGCAAGTTAAGGCACATTAAGGATCTAGTAGAATAAAACTGTTGTTAACAAAGTAGTTCCTGAGAAATAGGAAGCAACCAGTAGCAAATATGATTAATCTGATATCCATTACAATTCTTGTCTAATATCCATGCCCTGGAGGGACGTGGGTGGCACTGTGGGTTAAACCACAGAGCCTAGGACTTGCCGATCAGAAGGTCAGTGGTTCGAATCCCTGCGACGGGGTGAGCTCCTGTTGTTCAGTCCCTGCTCCTGCCAGCCTAGCAGTTCAAAAGCACATCAAAGTGCAAGTAGATAAATAGGTACCACTCCGGTGGGAAGGTAAACGGCATTTCTGTGCGCTGCTCTGATTCGCCAGAAGCGGCTTAGTCATGCTGGCCACATGACCCGGAAGCTGTACACCGGCTCCCTCGGCCAGTAAAGCGATATGAGCGCCACAACCCCAGAGTTGGTCACGACTGGACCTAATGGTCAGGGGTCCCTTTACCCTTTACCTTATATCCATGCCCTGAACTTGAAACAGGGACAATCTAACTCCTGAGTGCCTACTTCTGAATCCAGCAAGGATGGCTGGATTTATTTACCAAAAACTCTTTCAACTTATCCAATTGATATGAAGAATATTGACACTAGTATTCCTCTTTCCTACTATATGTATTCCCTCCCCCCCAGCTTTCTATACAGAAAAGTTTACTCAGATGCACACAGAAAATACTCTGGGTTAAATTGCCCAGAATTGGCTTCATTCTGTTTCAGGCAAGTTAGTTCACCAACATATTTTAAAGTAGTACTTCCTGATATTTATTTTTTTTAAAAAAAGCATCCCTAAGGAACAGCTGGAAAACAAAACATGCCTTAAAGGCACATTGTCAATCAATTACTCTTTTGTTGTTGTAGTTGTTGTGGTGGTTGTAGCTGCTGCTGCTGCTGCTACTGGAAGTTTACCTGAGAAATCAATAAGACAAATGTGATTGAAATACACAATGAGGATGTTGTTGAGGTTCAGGCGGTGAGGCATAACACTGGGGTGGAGGTTGTTAGGGAGAAAGAAGCCAATTGTCTCATGGCCGTATATTAGTATCTCTGGATTCTTTTAAGCTGGTACCCTTAGAAGTAAAGAACATGACAGCTTCGGTATTATGCAGTATGCCTTCTGCACATTTTGAAAGGAAATGATGTTCTGTGCATGCAAGCCTCCTCATTATGAGAGAAAATCGGTGATATGTTTCAAAAAGGGATAAAAGGCCTAAGAGTCCAATTTTTTTAATGATCATTCCCCCCCCCCCCCGCCGCCTTTTTGAGAGATGAGCTCCAAGACCACAGTATTCCAAAGAGAGTCATTATGTTAAAAAAAGAAGTAGTCAGGCATTGCCATTTGGGTTTACCTTATTTTAGCATGCATTCCCCACTAACCGAAAGTAATGTACTAATATATTCTTTACAGCTGGAAGAAGGATGGCTGGATGATGAAAGGAACGAATTCATAGAGGAGTTAAACTTGGAAATGTTGGAAGAACCGCATAATGAAGCAGTGCAATACGCAGGCAATGAAGTGGAGCAGGTAGGCTTGACACAGAACGCAGTGTCTGAAATGTTACTAGGTTTACGTTTTTAATAAAAAAGGAATCAAAATTATAAATTTAGAAATTTTATTCCTAGGCTTCGGTAGAGCATTGCTATTAACATTCCACAAATAGTGACAAATGAGGGGGGGATCTATCTGCAGTACAGTGGTGCCCCGCAAGACGAAAAACTCGGTAGACGAAAGGGTTTAGCGTTTTTTGAGTCGTTCCGCAAGACGAATTTCCCTATGGGCTTGCTTCGCAAGACAAAACGTCTTTCGAGTTCTTGCTTTTGTTTGCCGCTGCCTTAATAGTCGTTAAGCCGCTAAGCCGCTAATAGCCGTGCTTCGCAAGACGAAAAAAACGCAAGATGAAGAGACTCGCGGAACGGATTAATTTCGTCTTGCGAGGCACCACTGTATAAGACGAAACGTGAGGAGGAGGAAGGTCAGGATTTTAATACATTTTTGCATTCCTATTATTTTACTTTCCCACCAGATTAATTTGGTTTGCCCACTCCCCTCCTTCCTAAGCAATGCCCTGCCAAGTCACAAACATTCTTCTTCTCTTTGTTTTACTCAGCATTTGCGCATTCCATCTCTCCAGCCACTAAGCACATATCTCCCTTGATATATTCCACCACCTCACACACACAAAAAGCTCAGAACCAAGACTGATTTCCACACACACAGGACTGGATATCATGGGGGTGAGCAAGTTTCAGTTGTTTGGTCCCATTCCTTTGCCTCAGAAGTCTTCAGTGACAGCTGGTGCCAGTATGGGAAGACTTGCCGAGTGAGGTTTGGTTTGGTTTCCTGTCCCCATCCCTTCACCTCTGGTGTCTTCAATGAGAGCTCTTGCCTAGTAGAGAAATAATAATAATAATAATATAAAAAGTATTTATACCCCACCCTCCCCAGCCAAGACCAGGCTCAGGGCGGCTAACAACCAATAATAAAAACAAATTGAATGAAATACAACTTAAAAAACAAGATTAAAATACAACATTAAAACATTAAAATGCAGCCTCATCACAGGAGGAGAAAGGAAAAAAGAAAGAGGGGGAGGGAATCAAATTGATTCTGAGCCAAAGGCCAGGCAGAACAACTCTGTCTTACAGGCCCTACAGAAAGAAATCAAATCCCGCAGGGCCCTGGTCTCATGAGACAGAGCATTCCACCAAGCCGGAGCTAGTGTTGAGAAGGCCCTGGTTCTGGTTGAGGCTAATCTAAATTCCTTAGGGCCTGGGACCTCTAGGGTGTTGCTATTTATGGACCTTAAGGTCCTCCGTGGGGCATACCAGGAGAGGAGGTCCCATAGGTATGAGGGTCCTAAGACAAGGAAAGACCAAGGGTGAGGGCAGAAGAAGAAAAAGTAAACGTGGCTCCATATAAGCACAGAGTTGCTGTTGTTCCCGATACTGGACTTGAATTAGATTTTATTGTGAGAATATTTTGCAAGCCATTTTAGAGCTTCTTGAGGCTATAGAACAGGGTAAATAAGCTAAATAAAATGATGCTGAAGATTGGCTAGTGACCGTGTAGTGCTTTTAATCTTCTTGAAAGATCCTGCATAGAGATTAATAAAGGCAGTGGTGGGACTAGCTCATGTCTTCTCTGTGGTAATAAATACTGCTGAATTAGAGTCAGTTCACCCAAATCCTATTAGCTTAATCAAAGGCACTTTTTCTCTTTCAGTTCTGCATTCTCCCACAAACCTTCATAATGTGGGTTAATTAGTGACATGAAGCATTGAGATTTGCACCCATAAAGAACAATTAATACGACATGTTCTGTGCTGAAATTGTTCATTTTGAACAAAGAAAGGAATCAACCGGTTACACTGTAAGACATAGCTCTTGTTATTCAATCTTACTGCGTCACATTCACACCAATGCTTGCCAGATAAGAGGCGGACCTTAACTCTGGAATGCATATTTACCCTGTTGTTCTTTTTACACCCCTTGGCAACAGGGTTGTTGTTTTTTAAAATGTAGTTGAAGTTAACAATGCCTTTTTAAAAAGCAGCTTCCTCAAGTGCTCTCTAAGATTGGTCATAGCATGTTTGTGTGGAAATTCAGGAAAACTGTAGCTTGCCCAGCACGAGAAACAGAATCAGGGCTGGGATAACCCCTTTTTTTCCCTTTGAGGGCAGCATTCTCTCAGAGGTAATCTGTTGGGAACTGCATAGCAGTGATGGGCAGGGCAAAGCCAAACTGTGCAGGTCACTTTCCTTCATGCCCCGCAGCAATGAGCAATGTGGGTCAGTGCAATGTGGAACACTTTTAATCCCAAAGATTGACAGGTATTTAACAAATTGCCTCTGATGTATCAAGTTCAAGCTGAGCAATGGTTGTGGTTGGGCTAGGATCTATACAGCAGATTTCATCTGGATCTTCTCATTAATTGTTGACTTCAAAATGTAGTCACAGTATAGAATCAACAACTGTGAATTGAGACATCTGGAGAGAGAGAGTCTTATGTATGATAGACAACTGTGGGTCAGTGTGGGACAAGTCTCCAACAGGCTAATATCAAGGCTGAGCCCTAGAACTTACAGATATAGGGATATATATGAACCATTTATCATACACATAGTGTATTCCTCATAGTTGTAAACAGGCCAAAGGCCATGTCTTAAGGCAAACTTTAGATTCTACCATTCTCATTTTAGAAACTTTAACATTCTTGCTTGCTGAAAATTGGACAACATGGGAGAGAACATTAGAATTATAGCTCAGCTATAATATCAGCAAACACATGAGTGTCAAGCACTCATTGAGAATCCTAATGACAGACACACTAAGGCATCAATGCAGTGGCTCAGAACTGGCCAGGTACACCCTTCCGTCAACTTTTTGATTTCATTTTTAGTTTAGTTTACACTCCAACACACTTTAATTGCTTTTATTCTAACTGTTGTGACCTATTGGCATCAATTTATTCTAACAACTGTGCATAAAAGACTAGCTGGTAGGCTTGTGCTCTTGAAGGTAATAATGAGGCTTTATGTGTATGTCACTAATTCCCCTGCCTTGTCCATCATTGTCTGTCTAGGTAGAGGGAAAATAGCAATTACTAACAGTGTAGCCTCATAGAGTTTTGTTTCCGGTTATGCGTACCCTATATTTTCCCACATCGTGTTTTATTATTACTAGCCATTATGCTTAATTGTGTAATTACACCTCTTAAAGGAGAAAGCACATTTGCCTGGTGCTGTGTGCACTTAGATTTATTGTAAATAGACTACGCACTCTTTGGATGAAAATTGTGTAAGGGAAATGGGACAAAATGACTTTACTGTTTAGTTGTGGTGGGCCGAGTGGGAGAAAACATGCCCCTCTTCACTGCTCTGACACATAATGCTGTTAGCATTAGAGGTGAAATAAATAGGTGCAGTTAATGGAGGGTGAGTTAAAAGGGATCCACAAAAATGTTTGACATAATGGCCAAAGAAGGCAGACCATTTTGTTTTAACTATATGGGAGACTAGAGTTTAACTAGATGTTTTCCAAGGGAAAATACAGTGACACATATAATCCCCTTATTGGTATATTCGAAATGGAGAAGCTCTATCAGCAATTTTCTACAAAATCATTAGGAGTGCAGCAGATGAGAGCAAGAGATACCTCCCATTGTTGTTGTTGTTGTTGTTGTTGTTGTTGTTGTTGTGTGTGTGTGTGTGTAAAAAACACATTATCTGGACTGGCAACCACCAATGACAAATACATCCTCTACAAATTTGGCAGACAAACTACCTTATTGGGCCCTCAGCCTATGACACCCGAGTCAGCTATACAAAATTACTGCCAACTGCATGCCACAATTATAGCTAGCATTTGAAATAGACGTGCTTCTTAGCAGAGCACATCATGGTGCCAGTTTCTACTGGTACAGAGCCAGTGTGAACACAAATATCTGTTATAATAGCACCCAAGGTACAAATAGTATTCCCATCACTGTGGATGGGATTCCTAGTATAATTTGAAATTCATCAATAGGGATAAGGCAGTGGTAATCCACCAGGGTCAATTTCTGTTAAGGGTTGTTGTTGATGTTGTTTGGCTGGTACAGGTTATTTCAAACCTTTCTTGGCTTTATTCTGCCAGTGCAATACAGACACACTGTACAGTGGTACCTTGGGTTACAGACGCTTCAGGTTACAGACTCCGCTAACCCAGAAATAGTACGTCGGGTTAAGAACTTTGCTTCAGGATGAGAACAGAAATCGCGTGGTGGTGGCATGGCAGCAGCGGGAGGCCCCATTAGCTAAAGTGGTACCTCAGGTTAAGAACAGTTTCAGGTTAAGAACGGACCTCCAGAACGAATTAAGTTCTTAACCCGAGGTACCACTGTATATGTAAATGTATATATATTTGGCAGCTGGATATGCAGTCTTGCACAAGCTAAGTGGAGAGAGGAATATACAGAACATGAACATGCATTGAATGCACATCCAAGTTCAAATATCTCCTAGCACAGTTTTCTTTTCACTGACCTGTATGCCCTGTAGTTATTTATGTTCCCAGAGTGGTTGATAGAGTAGAAAAAAAATGTTTATATATGTTATTATAATAAAACACAGCAACCAGTGCTATTTTTCTAGAAAAAGAGGTACCGAAACTCACCATGAACACCTTCCTCTTTCTCTTAGAATGGCAATGGCACTCACCTGAGAGGTGCCGGAACTGAGTTCCAGCAAGTTCTGGTTGGGAAAAAAGCCCTGATAGTAACTAACACAGAAAATACTATCCACCTACAATATTCTATGCTGGGTTTTTCCCCCATACCCCACTGGCCTTGTTAACTGTTATATTACTGTACAGCAGGCTTCTGAGATGTTTGGAACTTGCAGAAGAAGCTCTTCTGCAGATTGCAGATGCTAGGGTATATAAAAGGTGGCCTGTTAAGTAACCTAATCCTGAGCTATATAGGCCTTATTTGTTAGTACCAATACTTTGGACTAGGCCCTGTAGCAAGTTGGCAGCATTAAAGGAGGCCATGGAGCAGGGCTAGTGAGGGCTTTGGCCTGGGAAGAGGGAGTGTGGTTTTAGGAGTGGCTTGGAGAAGTGGTCTGAAGGGCTGCATTCAAGACATGTTGATGGAAATGTCCATGTCAATCAGTTGGGGGGTTTTTTGGTCATCGTAGCAACTCTTTAACTTAGATTGCTATTATTCACATGATATACAGAAAGAAGAACAAAGGCTAAGACAATGTGATTTGTCTGAGCAAATCCATAACTGAGCCAGGGTTTAAATGCAGTTGTTCCTGTTCCAAATTCAAAACTCTCTCTCTCCCTTTTGCACAGGAGCATGTTCATTTCCACAAGTATGCAGGTGCTGCCAGCAGTCTAATAAAATAATAATAATAAATTTATTCATTTGTACCCCACCCATCTGACTGGGTTGCCACGGGCATTAGCATTTATAAAAACACAATAAAACATTTTTTAAAAAAAATTCACTATACAGGGCTGCCTTCAGGTGTCTTCAGAAAGTTGTGTAGTTTACCTGTTTGACATCTGATGAGAGGGCGTTCCACAGGGTGGGCGTGACTACAGAGAAGAGAACTTGATTTAAGATATTTAATTTAATACCTGCCATAAATATTAATTGTGGGCCGTTTTGATTTTATAGCCCAAAAAGCACGAAGAGGAAGACGGCACAACAGATACTGCTACCTCATCATCTAACAACAACGAGAAAGACAGTGGAGTGGGTCCCACCGACGAAAGCCAGCGCAACGACGAGAGCTCAGAGCAAGAAAACGCACCAGAAGAGCAGAACAAGCCGACCCCAGAGACCCAGCAGGAACCGAGACAGAGCCCGGACACTCTGGGAAGCCTCGAGCTCCAGTGCAACAAGAGCGTAGTGTCTGGGGAATACATTGAGTCTGATTTTGTTGGCAACCAGGAGGAGGACTGCGAAAGGTTTCGCCAGCTGCTGGAACTCAAGTGTAAGATCCGAAAGCACGGCGAGTATGACTTGTATTACTCAAGCAGTACCATAGAGTGCAACCGAAGGAAAAAGGACGGGGTGGAGCATGAGCTGCAGCTGCTCAATGAGGAACTGAGGAACATTGAGCTTGAGTGTCAGAGCATCATGCAGGCTCACCGGCTTCAAAAAGTGAAAGACCAGTACGGAGACATTTGGGCACTGCAGGGTGGTACGTTTAGGAATTATAACACCAGTATAGACCTTCCAGGGGGGAAACTGGATGACATCATAGAGCACCCAGAGAAATCGGACAAAGACAGTTCCAGCGCTTACAACACAGCAGAGAGCTGCAGAAGCACTCCGTTGAACGTGGAGCGATCCCCTGACAGTTCTCTCCAGCGGATGATTAGCATCACCAATAGGAAAAACCTCAGGAGTACCATTGTGGCTAACCAGTTGTCTTCCAGGCAGAGTGGCAGGGAGACAACGCCAAACAAAACCAAAGCTGCTGAACAAAACAGTTCTGTTGAGGAGAAGGAAACGGTTTCAGAAAGTAGCAAATCGACAGAGCAAGAAAGGCAGAGCCCCGAGCAGATTCCTTATTTGTCCCCATATCACGGCTCCTCATACAGGTATGGGAATATCCCTGCACACGCTAAGCATTATCAAAGCTATATGCAGCTGATACAGCAGAAATCTGCTGTGGAATATGCCCAGAGCCAGCTCAGCCTAGTGAACATGTGCAAAGATTCGCAGAAGTGTACGGAGCCCAAGATGGAGTGGAAAGTGAAAATAAGGAGCGACGGGACGAGGTATATCACCAAAAGACCTGTAAGAGACAGAATCCTGAAGGAACGTGCCTTAAAGATTAAAGAGGAGCGCAGCGGGATGACGACAGATGATGATACAATGAGCGAAATGAAGATGGGTCGTTACTGGAGCAAAGAGGAACGGAAGCAGCACCTGGTGCGAGCCAAGGAGCAGAGGCGGCGGCGGGAATACATGATGCGTAGCAGACTAGAGTGTCTTAAAGAGAGCCCTCAAAGCAGCAGTGAGGGCAAAAAGGAAATTAACATCATTGAACTCAGTCACAAAAAGATGATGAAAAAGAGGAACAAGAAGATCTTGGACAACTGGATGACTATCCAGGAACTTATGACACATGGTGCTAAATCTCCGGATGACACAAAAGTACACAATGCTTTTTTATCGGTTACTACAGTATGAATATGTCTATTCTGGAAGGGAAAAAAAGTCTACTACCAGTTTCGGTAGAGTACAATTGCCTCGTTCAAAGTGGCATTTTTTAATATATTTTGTGACTGTTTATAGTTTGATCTTTTTTGTAAGCAAATTACTTGGTAAATTTACATTTGGTTTTTCATACAATAGTATTTTCGTTAACTGGTAATTTTGCAGTCTTTCTTTACTCTGCAATATATTCATAATATTGATTTCTATTTTAAGGAAAAAGCAAAACTTAAAAAGGAGGAACTGATTACTTTCGTATCCAATTTTATGTACTGGAAGTTAAAAACCGAGTCTTTTCCTCTAGATTTCTTTTTTAATACTTTACTAAAACTACAATGCCAAAACAAAATCCTTTCTACCTTACTCTTGCTTTTTGGCAGTTTAAATTTTTTAGCATTGTATGTTCTGTCTGTTTCTAAACCACATGCCACATCTCCTCATGAAGCTCAAGAACTGCATTTTATCCAACAGCACATTGTACAGTAATTTTTAAATTGCAATTGTCTTTGTCCAAGTAAAGTGTTGGTAAGAAACTCTTCAGTGATATGTTAATGGCATTGGTTGTGTAGCTAGGTGATATGTGGTATTTGTGAAGACTGAAGAGAAATAAATTATTTCTTATCTTTAAGAAAAATGATCAAGGGCTCCTTTGATTTTAATTTAAATTCCACTTGCATACGTGATATTTGAGAACTCTGCTTAAAATGTCAAATATGTGAACTAGTTTATGAGCATTCCTATGAATGCTTATTTACTCTCTTCTAGTTTTTCAGCAGATTTTCTATAATATTGCTGGGTTGGGCAGATTATTTTAAGGCAGAAGCCCCAGCAGTTAGTTTCGCATCAGAAAAAGGGTCAGTTGTTGCTTCTGGTGATTGTGGACTCGGTACTCAACCTACAGTTGTTGTGTAGTATATGAAACAGTGCATATAGTTTTTCTAGGCCTGAAAACCCTTAATTTATTAATGAAAAAAATGAGAAGTGAGGTAGGAGTGCTAAACCATAATAAAATAATACAATTCTGCTATCATTATTGGCAGACTTAATATTCAGCCTGTACAAGTAATGAGCCCAAAGCAATCAGAAAATGAAGGAAATAACTGTAGCAAACTTTTATCACACCAGGCAAAACTTCATTCTGCAATGTTGGTGGATAATAAATAGTCATAAATATGTAATTGAGATATGTTTGGGAAAATAATGTGATATGCTTTCCAGTTGAATAACATTTTTTTTTGCCCCTTCTATCCCTTCCTGGAAGAAAATTGGTTTTCGGTTGCAAAAAAGCACTTTTATTTTTCCCTGTGAGATCAATGGAAACATGAAATGTGTCATGTCTTTTTCTCTTTTAACAGGTTTTCATGCTAAAAATGCTGTGTTCAGCATTAAAAATTGACACCAGTTGCTTGGGAAAAGATTGCCTTGAAACAAACTGCACAAGACATGTCAGTTCTCTGGGCTACTGTTAAAGAATTACTAATGTCTTAAGATCAAAACAAAACAAAGCAAAAAGCATATAAAATATTGAGGCAGCACTTCTTTTACTTCTAAGCCATCTTTCTGATTTCAAGAGTTTAACTCAAAGGCATCTAAGTCCATGCTTTTTTTAAAAAAAAAAGAAAATGAAAAATGCACATTAAACGTGCAGCTTACCTGCTTAGCCACCTGCCACCATGTTAAACCACCTGCTAGACTTAGGATGCAACCCTACTAAGAAAGTAAGCCAAGCCTGCTGAATCAGGCCAATGGCCCATCTAGTATAGTATCATGTTCTCACAGTGACCAACCAGATGCAAGCACCTCAACCACACCTTGCCTACTTGCAACTCCCAACAACTGGCATTCAGAGGCTCTGTGAGTGGAAGTAGAACCTAGTCATTGTGCCTACTAGCCATTGATAGCCTTGTCCTCCATCAATTTGTCTAATCTTCTTTTAGAGCCATCCAAGTTGGTGGCCCTCACTGCCTCCTGTTGGAGCAAGTTCCATATTAAATATGTGTTGCGTGAATAAGTACTTTTTCATTTGTCCTGAATCTTCCAACATTCAGCTTCGTTGGATCCACTTTCTACATGCCGTGCATAATCTTATAAACTTCTACCCTGTAACCTCTTCCTTGCCTTTTCTCTAAACCTGGGTTTCCCAAACTTGGGTCTCCAACTGTTGTTGGACTACAACTCCCATCATCCTTAGCTAGCAGGTCCAGTGGTCAGCGATGATGGGCGTTGTAGTCCAGAAACAGCTGGAGACCCCAAGTTTGGGAAACCCTGCTCTAAACTAAAAAGTCCCAAATGCTGTAAACTTTCCTCATTTACTCCATCCCCTTGATCGTTTTGGTTGCGTTTTCAATATACTTTTTTAGGTGGTTCAATTAGAACTGCACACAGTATTTCAAGTACAGTTGCACCATAGTTTTGTGTAATGGCAATATGATAGGAGCAGTTTATTTTCACTTCCTGTCCTAGTGATCCCACACAGGGAAGTTGCCTTTTCCCACAGCTGCAGCTGCTCCTATGTACATGGGAGTAAGCCCCATTCAGTGAGACTTAACGTATGCATAGACATGTATAGGATTGTACTGGAAAATTCAGCAGAAACTTTTTTTCTACTAAGAATTAGCAATCTGAGATACTTTTACTGGTGTGTTTTTACTTGTCAACATTTACATGGGGAAAACAACTGCCTTGCATAGACAAAAGGCATTTTTCATGCAGGAATCTTCATGCCAATATTTTTCTTACACTTTGTATTTTTGTTGGGGTTTTACCTTCCAGCTGGCTAATCAAGAACATATATATGTTAAGTAGTTCTCTGCCATGTAGGTTTTATTGGTCTGCTTCTAATTTATTTAATGTTGATTGTTGTTGTTTTTTATTTTAAAAAATGCAACATAAAATTTGGGCTATAGCAAAAGAAGGCAGTTGCTTTAAGCCCAGCATGTTGGGAAGGGGTCTCATTAATATCTCTTAGATGAAGACAATTGATTGCCAAGTTAAAAGCTCTTCATTTCGTGTAGTTAACAAAAAACAGATTCGAGGAATATTATATTTTCAGCAATTAAGGGGGTTGGTTTTTTTTTAGTAAAAAAATATATTAAAAATCCCTGTTCAGAGACCCCAAACTCTTGCCAAAGAGCAAAGAAACATGCAGACACAGCATGTTTCAGGCTCCATCTGGATGAAATGAAAGTACCTGATTAATAACTGTCTGAAGTTGCAGACTTAGGCCATGGAGGCCGCTTCTTGGTATTGCTCTCCGGTTTCTGTTTCTAAAGATGTAGGACTAGCTCTGTTGAGAGACCAGCTGCCTTTGGATCTCCCTCGACTGTCACCTAGCAGCAGCCATTCCATCAGGCTATACGAACAGCTCTGCCACCAGGCAAAATGAGACATGTGCCTCAGGCAGCAGATAATGGTGGGCAGCGTACAAACACACAGCTGTTTGCCCTTAGCTCCCCCTCCCCTGACATTCCTCTCCACTGGAGATCAGAGCTATATGTAAGCCACTGGCCTGTTGTGCACCTCTCAAACTAGCCCTGCACTGGATAATTATACCTTGCTGCCAAGGTAGAAGTAAGATTCAACAGCCAACCCAGTGGGCTTCTGTACATGCAATTGGGGAGAGCAGGAAACTTGGTCTTTGCTTCATACCACAAAATGTCTTGGGCCAGCTTAGAAAGGCTATGCAAACTGTTCCTGTTCCATTATTATATGAAAAGCTGGTGCCTGAGTGCATTTTTATCTCTGTGCATTTTCCCTTCCCATTCCTGGCTGCATACATACCATACATTGAAAGCACAAGAATCCTGGGAACTGTAGTTTATCCCCCATATAGCTACAATTCCCTCAACAAACTACCGTATTTTTCGCACTATAAGACGCACTTTTCCCCCTCCAGAAATGAAGGGGAAATGTGTGTGCGTCGTACAGGGCGAATGCAGGCTCCTTGGCTTCAGCGATAGCAACGCGAAGCCTCTAAAGCCTGCACTCTGGAGGCTTCGTGTTGCTTCCGCTGAAGCCAGGAGAGTCTGCTCTTTGAGGCTGGTGGTGGGGGAAAGCAGCGCTTCCCCTATCGCCAGCCCCAGAGGATGGGGGGCACAATCTGGGTCGAAAAGCCCGCAGGAGCCGCACGCTCTTTAAAGAGCGCGCTGCTCTTGGGGGCTTTTCCCCAAGGAGGGAGAAGGGACTGACTGGCGGAGTCAGTCCCTTCTCGCTCCTGTGGGCTTTTGCGGGAGATGGGGGAATTCCCCCACCTCCCGCAAAAGCAGGCAAAAGCCGCATGCTCTTTAAAGGGGCTGCGCGGCTTCTGCTGGCTTTTCTACGAGGTGGGGGAATTCCCCCACCTTGTAGAAAAGCCCGCAGGAGCTGCACACCCTTTAAAGAGCGCACCGCTCTTGGGGGCTTTTCCCCGAGGAGGGAGAAGGGACTGACTGGCCGTTTCAGTCCCTTCTCCCTCCTGGTCGAAAAGCCCGCAGGAGTCGCGCACGGCTCCTGTGGGCTTTTGCGGGAGAAGGTCTTGGAGTAGCGCACAGGCTGCGTGCAGCCTGTCTGCTGCTCCCAGAGCTGCGGGGGGGAAATCATATTTTTTTCCTTGATTCCCCCCCCCCCCTGAAAACTAGGTGTGTCCTATGGGCTGGTGCGTCCTATAGGGCGAAAAATACGGTAATTCCCAGGATTCTTTGGAGGGATTCATGTGCTTTAAATGTATGGTGTGTACGCAGCCCTTTCCCCCCCTTTGTTTGCTTTTTGTCATGTCTTTTAGATTGTAAACCTGCCTTTTTTTAATTGATCTGAAAGCTGTTCTGGGAGCCTTTGGGACTGCAGAGCATGGTAAAGAAGTGTATCTACTTACTATTCTTATTATTAATAGCACATTTAGTAACCTTTGCTAACAGTAAAGCTAAAATAATTGGACCCAGAATTTTAAAATTTGCCATACTTCAGACTGAAGCCTTAAATTTATGCTGCAGAGAAAAAAA